AAAGCATTGACAATGACTTACTGCTCAAGAAGCCTTTCTGGGCCTCACCAAATTTGAGTTTCCTGCCAGTCCCTTTCCCTAAAAATTGAATGGATGAGACGGAGATACAGAGAGACTGGGGAAACAATGGGAAACAATGGAAAACATTGTCAATTGATCGATATTGATATTGTCTTCAAGAATCTTCAAAACCAGGGTGGAAAACATTGGAAACACTGGTCACACCACCTCGATGGGTACGCCCGCAATACATATCACCCCTCCAATTTTCAACAGAACGAGAGGCGACAAGAATGGGTCACAGTGGATTCAGCTGAGCTGCAAGCGTTTGTCAAGTGATTTGCCGGAGTAGGAGATTTGTTTGTAACCAGAGCAGGGGCAAATGGTGTGTAGATGTGGGCAGTATATTACATATATGACATGACCGTTATATTTTGACTGTTATGTTGTAACCCTTGTTAGCACATGTGTACAAGATTATACAAGCAAAGGCAGGCTGATAAGCGAAGCAGCATAAGCAGCAGGGGCAGCAAGGGATGGTGCGCAAGAGAAGCAGCAGTCGCATCAAGGGCAGCAGTGGCAACAGCATCACCACAAATACAATAAAATATTCGAGTACATGCAGAGGAGGAGGCAGGAGGAGGCAGGAAGAGGCGGGAGGAGGGCAAAAAGGATGAACAGCAGTCAGTGGGACTACGTTACATTAACAAACAATTGCAGCAGCGTCAGCACCTGCAGTTGCGATTTTAGCATGTGGCTCAAATCAGAAAATGCCTGGGAAAGTCCAATGAGTCTGGTTCATAGGTGACCACAGGGGGATGGAGAGAAGCAGCATTGATCGCCTGCACTCAAAACCAATCACAAATTCGAATCGCAGTACTATATCACAGGTCCTCTGCAGAAAGTGTCTCTGCACAATCCAGCGCTTCCTGACGCAGAGGACTCTACGTTGCCATTCAACTCTACTTGCCCGGGGTCTGCAATCGACAATTCCGCTGTATCAAGGTGTATCATCTCCAATTGCGACTGATAACAATTTTGGAAAGGCAAACTTGAAAAGCCAAGTAAAAACACTGCACTCAGCATCGTAAGGAAAAAAAAGGAACGCCTTAAGTTGTAGTACTTGGCGGTACCACGCGGTACAACTCAATACTACTCAAACTATTTCAAACTATTCTATACTTCATTATACTGTACTTCATTAATTAATCTTCATTATACATGTCTGGTCATCTCTGTACTGTTCTGAGAGTTTTGAAAGTTCTGGGACTGGAAGTGCCACATGGGCACTGGCCTCGTCAGCAATTCGCATGCTCCTTAAAACTGGCGCCTCACAAACTTGTGAAACTGGTACAGTATGGTACAGTAGAACTCAGTAGAACATAGACGTTCATAAAAGTTCAAGAGGGTCGAAGACATATGTGGTCCGGAAATAATCCTGAAACATCCTGAAATGTCCTAAAACATGAATATCACAGAACATCATAGAACATGAATCACATGAATTGAATATCAAATGATGTCAAATGATGCCACCTGAGGTCACCTGATGACCAAAGCAAAACTCGTTGAAGAAGCGGAGTCGTTCCAGGGTTGATAGACCGCATCCGACATCATCCGAATTGATCTGACGTTGCTTGCATGTGGAGGCAGAGATGCTTGCTGCTGCTTGTCCAGCAGATTTATCATGGTTTATCCGGTTTTCAAACTCCCCAAGCTCCCAAACATGAGCTGCTGCAACAGGGCTTCCAATTGCAGGAACCTGCACTGTCAACATCCGAGATATCAGACCCAATAACACATGAATCGGGCAAAAGCATGTTCTACATCTTGCATCATGTTTGACTGCTTTGTTTGACCCCTTCCATTGCACAGCGCCCTAGACTGAAATGAGTGCCTTTGGACCTTGAGTAAGTGGATCCTCATGCAAAGGCCTTAGCGAAATGCACAAGCTGGAATCCACGACGCCAAAACAACTGATATCTTCCATCATACTGTGATCACACTGTGATCATCCAGTATGATGTGGTGTGACATGGTGTGACAGAAATGTTGGCTCCGCAGGTTGCCTGATTTTCTTTACCTTCTCAAGCTGTCTCAGGCCAAGTCGACCCAAAAAAAGACTGCAGCTCAGCTCTTGCAGCCAAGCGTACCCAAGACTTGGAGCGACCCACTCGCCCAAGAAGAGATCAGAGAGACACCTGATGAATTCTCATTCATATGAGATAGGAAGTACAAATATTCTCGACCAGTACCATCATCACAGTGGGCAACTTCAGGATGACTGCAACATGTAGACAACATCTCAACGCTTATTTAAACCAAAATGTGAAAAACCTCTGGGAACACATATATATATATACTATTATAATCTATTATATACTTATACTTATATATCTATATACAGTAAATGTTTTAAGTGTTCAACGCCTTGCTTTCTGGCTGTGTTTTTAAGGCTGCTGCTGACGTAGAGAAAAGATTGAGCTTGCTCTACAGCCTGTACCCAAACAGCTTCAGGAATGTATGCAATTTTGAATTGATATGCGAAATATATTGAACAAATACATGGAATATCCTGGAAACGACAAGCAAAGGAATATACAATGAATATATATGAATATCAATGAATGTACTGTATGTACACGTGTCTGTCCTTCCGTCCGTTCGTCGGTCCGTCCAGCATGTGTAATTGAAAAGCACTTTATAAGTCCATTGCCTAGCATGCGCGCAGCTTTACCCAGCTTGCCTCAAACAAGTCAAAACACCTCTAGATTCTGCAAGCTGCCCAACATTCAAAGCTTCTTTGAACCTTCCATGTACAAGAATTCATAGCAAAACGATCAAAAACACAGGCATAAGTCAGGCAGGCCACCATTTCCGGAGAACCACACATGGGCTGCAGGCCTGCAAAAAGACAGCCCAGAACGCTGTTCAGCAACTTCATGGAGTTGCATGCTGCGCAAACAATCGTGGACGTGCACAATTTTTGAACCAGGAGAGCACAGAAGATCACAGGAGTTTGACTCATGGACTAAGTGCTGCACCAGGCTAGTTCAATGTAGCCGGTCTTGTCTCTTCGCTTGTAGGTCCTTGCAAAGTCCCAACACACGGGCCATGACATGTTTAAAAAGATCAGTGCGCATGATCTGCCAAGCACGGAAAGCATCGGGTGTCTGGCCGGCGATTGCCGAAGATGCGCTCACAGTAGAGACCATCTGGCCTTCACGGGCGATTCAGGAAGCCAAAGATAGCAACATGAACTCAGAAACTCGTCATGACTCGTCAGCACTCGTCATCACCCGTGCATAGAGAAAAATTGAGGACGAAGTCGGACCAAGGTCCAAGGTCCGCACACGGCAATCCACTCATCTGTGCCGTATTTGAAATCAAACGGGTGAAGAACTTGACCATTTTCCTGCCAAGAGCAACAAACAGCAACAAACAGCAACAAAGAGCAACAAAGAGCAACAAAGAGCAAGCAGAGCAAGCAAGGCATCCAGAATGATCGGATATTATCAGCTTAGGCTTATTCTATCTTATACTACACTGTTACTACACTCTTACTACACCATCTTATACCCAGCAGAGCCTCAACTTTGGCCAAACCACCACTGCCATGTTTGACTCTTGCCAGACTGCCTGAGGATTTCGCATCTGAGTGCCGTCTAATGTACCAACATGACCAACATGACCAACATGTACCAACAACGCAAATCAACGCAACATCCTTCGTTGTACTTTGGCACTTCCAAGATTCTGACGAATCTCAGCCGGTGATTGCAGCCTGGTCTGCAGGAGAACTCTAAGAATACACGCCATCCTATATATCCTATATATCTATTCATGACTGTTCTGCATACCGAGTTACTACAGGGATTGTGTGATCGCAACATATCTCTATGTCTTGTGCTTTGTTCACTCGCCGGTTGAAAAACTAAATCCGCCCATGCAAGTGTCCAAGCCTCACAGATAGGTAGTCGATGGCATTATCTCTGTCTGGGTTGTCCTTCCAGACCACACACATGTGCAATCCACTCACTGTATTTCAGTGTACTTTGTCCTCACCACCACCCCACCACCACCACCACCATCACCACCATGCCTTCTGGGAAGACTCAGCTGGTAAGTTTCTTGCCATGAGGAACTGAATCACAACAAAACACAACACAACATATATGGCAAATAAAATAGTACCATGAAATGATGTGAGGTAAAATGAAATGATTTAAAGCTGGTGTGAAAGTGGCCTTGAGCATAGCAAGATATGACAAAATACGTAGAATATGGAAAAAGAAATAATAGAAAACAATATGATACAGTTCAAAACAAAACGAAACAAGAATATAAACCACAATGCAAGGTACACAAAAATAACACAATACAATCCAATATATAATATAATAATATAATACAATATAATACGGGAAAACACACGACATACAATGAAATGCAATAAAGGACAATATAATGCAATGTAATACTATATGAAACAACATGAACAATATAAGACATTCTAATGCAATATAAAAATGCACTACGATACTATATTCAAAAAAAAACAGAAAATACAATGATACACAAATGCAATATGATATACTTTGACATTAACTTAAATATGAAATGATCAAATCTAACCAGCCGCAACAGTATACCATATCACATAATACCAAATAATCTGACATGAAGTGACCTGATAATCGATTAAAACGTATTAAATACAGAAAGGCTTGCTGCCAGCGCCAAAACTACCAATTGTTTGAATCTATCTATTATTATTTTGTAAATCTATTACATGATCTGAAATAACATTAGTTTTTTGTTGTCCATGCACACGCCTTTTCTATTTGGAATACAACTTAAATCGGTTGAAACCACACACAGAAAAAAAAATGTGTTCCCAAAACAATGGTATTTTTGTGATTTTGTTGTTTTGTTTTTTCGATGTTTTGATCCTTAGGAACGATCCGGATTAATCCAAATCAAATCTGAATCATCTTGCCTCTAGGGCATTTATAAATTTATAAAATGTACCCTTTACAAATCACTACTCAAAAAAAATAAACATGCGCAGTATTCTTTGGAGATGTGCGATTTTCCATTCAACGGGTGAAGTCTTTGAGAATGTGCAATTGTCTTCTTTTGTTGAGTGAAACATGTCCTTCAATTAAAGGATGTTCCTTTCCAAATAAGAGGTAATTGGGATATATTGGGATTCTTTAAAAGGAATATCGCATTCTTTTCAGAGAATTGGTGCTACTTTCAAACATAATCATAAAGGACAACTGAGACAATTTTCTTTTTCGTGAGTGAAGCATTTCCTTCAAATGAATGGGATGTATTTTCAAAGGCAAGGGAATTTTCAAAGAAATGGTGTTGCTTTCCGCAGGACAGCTGGTTTTCGTTTGAAAGGAGTGTGACATTATTATCTTTTAAAGAAATTGTGTTACCTTCAAACATAGGTCGGAAGTGAACTTTGAAGGGACTGTTACTTCTTTAGTAGACACATTTGATAGTGATTCATAGTGATAGTCTGCAACAATACGTATACATATTCTGCAACAAGATTGTTTCTGTTGCTTAAAAGATGACTGCAGCCTTAATTAAAGCAGTTTTCTTTAAAGGAACATGCATCTGTTTGAGGAAATATGTCCATCATGAAAAAGGAAAACAGGAATACTGTACTTCCAATACAATGCATATTGTAGAGCACTATTGTCCTTAGAAAAAAACACAGACAACCTTCAAAAGGTTTTTAGCCCTGAAAAGTTTTGCACTAGCTCAAAGCAACCATTAGTTCATAAGGGACCTTTTTTTGAAGGAAGGGAAGGCTGCATATTTGTGAGGAAAATTGCACTTCTTTGAAGAATCCCATCTCTTCAGAGCATTACTTGCTGGAAATGTAGCGCAGGTGCAAGACTTAAGAGATGGGACATATTATGATAGATTTCATATTCCTCTTTGTACAAGTGCTGTGCTGTACAAGTCAAACTACAAGTCTTGTTTATTTAACAGTACATTACATGTTCGTCCACCGCCAATTTTTTTGTTTATTTCAACTGTGACAAATTGCACCATGGCAAGGCATTGGTGTAATACCACCTGGCTATCAACAAGATATTGGCACTGCATAAGGGTAACCAATCTATTGAACATATCCACAACCTGTTGAAAGAATGTGGTACTGTACCACAATCATATCATAAACACACTATAGTAGTGGATTCCCAGGCGTCAAAACAATATATTTCCAATGTTCATGATATTTGACACACAAAAGGAAGGATAATTGCATGACCTGAACTTACTGACTGCAATGTTGCATTTTATGTCATATTTATTCTATTGTATATAGTGCTTCAAAGTGGAGATATGTCCTACTTTCTTTTCCAATGTGGGTGTTCTTTCTTGGAATTTGCCACATTTTGAACCTATAATGACTACCATTGTTCTGGAGGAGTGCATTTTGCAAGTAAATATGTTTCTCTGGGTCAGGCCTCCTCCTTATTAAACATTATATCACATTATAACCATTGGTGAAAGGATACAGGAACAAGAGGAAAGTCCAATTTTTGGCGCTGGCAACAAACCCGTCTCATTAAATAAAGCACACGTATATACATATATATATACATACATACGTATAATAATAATAAATCTAAAAACATATATTGTACTATATATGAATTTAATATTTCATATATATATATATTAAAACCTACAAAAATATATATGATGCAATAAAATGAAAACTAATACAATAAAATACGCTATATTATCATTTGATGTAATATAAAAAAGGAAACTGTTATATGAAAATTATAAAGAGGAAAACAAGTAAAATAACATATGTAGAATATATAATGTATTACATGTAACATGGTATAATGTTGAAATTTATAACAAGCAAGATCTGAAAATAACAAATAATATAGAATTTACGCCATAACATATCATTTATTATGACAGCTTATGACATATATTGTGTGTACGCTGAAAAAGGATAGAAATTTTAATACGACAAAATTTAACATGCTAGTACATGCTAGAAATATATCAGAAATAGCATAATACAATATTACATTGTGGTTTATCAGATTATACTATATCAGGTTCTGTTGTATTACATTATATTCCATTACATTGTATTATATCATATTGCATTAATGTCAAATAACGTCATGTTTTACGATACTGTGAAATAAAAAATATGAGAAAATGATGTACTGCAATACATATGATTCCATTCCAAATAACATAAAATATATGTATATGTATATATAATATATGAATAATAATGTTAATAACAATAATAACATACAAACCAATATAGAACCATACAAGACTAAGATAATATAATATAATATGTTTTGTTTTCATATGATATGATATATATATATATATTATTATTATTGTTATTATTATTATATAACATGATACGTCCAGGTTCCAATTAATTAGCAAAAGTTGGCGGGATCCAAGCTTTTTGGCAACATTCTGCCTGGACCCGGCCTAAATTTCTACTAAAAAATCTGACCTGGGCTTTATGATCAATTCTGATGTGCCTGATCATTGTTTTGGAGCACTCAAGGAGAATTCTCCAAAATGGGTTACTGGGTCCATGCGTCCTTTTATGTCCTCCCAAAATTCTCCTGCGAAAGGAGGTTTTGAGTCTTGCAAAACCGTCCAACATGTCCCACCATGTCTCTACAAATGCGGGTCATGGCCATGACCTCTCACAGCATTCAAAATGACTCTGCAGATAGCAGGGGTATGATAATGTTGCTTGATGTTGCTTGTATATACGATAGAGTCCGTGACTTACTACTACGGTACAGTATAATATGGTATAATAGTGCAAGTTCCTGTTCTGAAAGTATGCATCTCATCGAGCGCCCAAGCTTGTATACGAAATCAATGTTACAATGTCCAGGATGTCCCGGTTTGTTGAAATAACAAAAGGAAAAATCATGAAAAATCTATGACATGTTGTCCAATTGCTGTAGGCACTGCATAGTAGGGTTAGGTCGGATAATTTTCCACATCATTCCAATGAGTGAGTCTGCATCTCGGTTGGCCTCCCAAGACGGCACTCGAACATCAGCGCTGTCTGCTGCCTCTGGCCAACAAAAAGGAAAGAATGCAAAATGAAGATGTTTTAATATGTTTTATATTGTTTTATATGTTTTTCTCTTGCTTCATATTTAGCCGTGAACAAAGCAACAATGCACTTGCAAAGAAGGTTTGCCTCTAGCAGCCTGTAGCATGTATGTACAAGGCACAACGAAGAAATACGATGAAACATGCCTGCAAATTCTCATCAACCTAATGTCTTTTCTTCCAGCTCGTTTGTTCAGCATCGATAAAAGTCCCCACATGCATGCCTTGTCACTGGTGGAAAAGATTGGAGAAGGCTCGCAAGGTTCTTCCTCCGTGGTTTGCACCAAGACCAATAGTTTCTGCTGCGCTGCGAGTAAAGTAGCTTGTAACGTGTCTTTTTGGTGCCTTTGTGGTGTCTTGGCAATCCTTGTTGGCAGAGTCTGGGTTGTGTTTGGGCAGGGCCTCAATGATGTGGGGTCTCAATGATGTGCGTATGGCGTTTCAGCAGTATCTCGACGATGTTTTGACGCTGTATATAATTTATATATAATGCTGTCAGGCTGTCAGTAGTGTGCTTTGGTGGTTGGGGAGGTTATTTTTTGTGTTTTGACATGCGGGGTGAGAATCCGCATTGTCAAGAGGGCAGCTTGCATGGTCCATGAGAGGACAAGACAGTCAAGACCGTATCAAAAGAGTTTGCATGATGTTGAGTATATGTATGCTTGATACAGGTTGAAATGAAACGTGGCTGAGCGCAAGCAGGAACTCGCTTGGATGTTGCGCGAAGTCTTCCAGCTAGCTCTTGCAGCAGGTGTTCTAGGTGACGACTCCATGAGGACTCAGCATTACATGAACATGAATCGAAATCTCAACATGAATCGGATGAATTTTGCACAATAATTGTTCTATGAATTTCTCAACCTAACAATGGCTGTACAGTACTCTAGCCTCAATTGTTAGGAATGAAGTTTATGGAGCGGTGTGTGTTTATCAAACTCCCGAACCTATCGTAGACACCACCAAGACACCCGCACATCACCGAGACAAAAACAACATGCCATGAAAGGCATTGCCCCTGCTGCCCCAAAGTTTTGACTGTTTATCGCGGCATCAAATACATGTACATCTATATCTATATAGTTACATATATATATAATTATATATAATTATTAATATCATTATATAATATTCTATATACATATGTTGACAAAAATTCACAGGCTGAACATGTGTATGTTTTCCTTCACAATCAATTGCAACAGAACTGGCCCAAAAAAAAATATCACGCTCACCGGAATGTCCACGTGCCTGCCGTGTTTGTGATGGCGGGGGTGCAAGCAGTCCGTTGACATCACCGCTGTCGGTAGCCTTTGGTGGAAGCAATCCAGAAGGATGGCAGCCCGTCGCAACAGAAGTCTCAAGAACTGCAGAGGTTAACATCAATAGCCTCTGGTTTCGACATTCAACCTGTGGTCCTGGCCATCTGGGGAAGCGGGGGCATCGGGAGGGCCTCCGGTGCATCCTGACCAGCGATCTGTGAAGAGTAAGCAACCCCTAGTCCATGCCATAAGTACGTACCAAAAGGGTGCGCGTCAGTCCCACGTCTGGTGGACAGATCTTTTCGACCATATTTGTATATATAAGTAGGGTCAGGAAATATGAATGCAATATGTCAGAAATTGTTTTCAAAATCAAAGCAACTAAAATACATCCCCTGCCCAGGGACAACTTTCTGACAGGACAAAATAGACGATAGTGCGGCCCGAAAAGAATGCAGGAGATCAATATGAATGTGTTTTCCAAAGGGTTCTTACCAAAGACATTGAGGTAATGATCACAATCACGATGACGAGTTCACTTCCAAATACTTCCAAATATAGATAATTCACACGCAACCGATTTCTTCCGAAATATTGTCAGATATTTGAAATTAAAAAGTCGGATGATGTTGATGATGCTGACACTGATGATCTTTTAACACGCAGAAACTGTCACACCGTGGTTGGCCAAAAGCTGAGGTAAAACCTCTCGAAAGCTGTGTGTAAAAGCTGTTGCGCCTGAAAGTTTCTGTGTAAAAACTTCAGGATGTATAGGCGCCTGCTTTATTACCCAGCCTGTCTACCTTTGTGGCCAGATTTGGGTACCCTATCATGACTCCCAAATACTCCCAATCTGCTCCATTTTGGGTTGAAATGACTCTTTAGGAACCTGTCGGAGGATGTCGGAACCCGGGGCTTGTCAACAACCCTTCACAATCAAAAACCAAAATGCGCAATTGAACCCAACAAAAACGTCCGTTACGGGTAAAACCCATATTGGACAAAGAAAATTGTCCGTACGGTTTCCCAGGTATACATACAGCATTATACAGCTGTGGATGTGTAGATGTTTAGTTTACAGTTTACACCTACATCTATAGGCCTGAATCTGTGCACGTGCAGATGCAGATGCAGATGCAGATGCATATACATACACATACACATACACATATACATATACATAATTATACATATACATACACATACACATATACATACAAATGTATGTATGTAGATGTTTTGACCTACATCTACTCACCTGAATCTATACACCTGATTTGTAGATGTGTAATTTTTTTCACCTGCAACTCCACAATTGTAGGTGCGTACATGCTTTCACCAACATCTATGGGAAATCGTAGATGTGTAGAAGTTGAGGCTGAAGCTGATGACGACGACGACGACGACGATGATGACGATGCTGATCATGATGATGGTGATGATGATGAAGATGTTGAAAATGATGATGCTAAAGTAGGAACAATGTTGTCCTGATAGCCCGTGATGAACATATATGATAGCGGATACATCAGGGCCCATCCTTGCGGGGCCAAGCCAGCGAAACCATCAACAAAAATTGTTGCGCTTCTTGGGTCTGAGTTATCAAAGGGTTCAATCCATAATGGTCAAAAGCGACCAGCCAAAGAGCTCTGCTTCCAGCCTGAGTTTACCGACATTGGAAAACCATTTTCCTGATAGCGCCCAGTTAGAACAGGAAATACGGACAGTTGAAGAAATCACTCGCGCATTGCATGTACAGTCAGGATTTCACATATTCTGGACTTGTGGCCTTTGTCTGTGGCACACTTGGCTTCTTGTTACCGCGCAAAACCGGGTGAGGAGACTTCACGCTACGAATTGGCCACCAGCATCAAGTGGGATGCCAGGGATCTCTTGATTTACATAAGAGATTTCAATCAGCAAAAGTTTGAAGCACATGCTACACCAGCCATTTTTGCAGGCTATCGCATCGATACGGGAAAAAAGTACAAAGATGTTTATCTGGCATTGTCTGGCCCTTGATTCCAAAGCACTACAGGACAAGACCCCAGGGTATCATATCCCCACCAGCGTTCCAGCTGAAGAGATGTTTGTGCCAGAAAGTGCTCCTGTTTTACCTTTGCAAAGAACCTCACAAAGACAGAGCGGAGCAAAGATCCCAAGGGACGACAGGGAGTCGAAGCCGAAGCACTTGGCTTGAGACGAAATGGAACTTGGGATGATAGACTCAGTCACAACCCTCGACAACCTGAAGCATCAATCCAAAGCCTGCCAAGCCCCCGTGACGATTGCATCTTTCACACTTTATGTGCCATCAAGCACTGGGAGCAGCCGGCTGAAGCACACAAATAAAGGGAGCATTGGATATATATAGGCGGTATCTCATCAGTATGAGCTATGGCTTGACACCTGGAATTGCACCTATCCTCCCAACGCAAAGCTGTGCATGCGACGTTTAGAATCGCTTTACGGACATCCGTTGGCTGGCAAGTTGCGGCAGGATTTCCTAGCAGAAAGTCTGCAGAGGCTCGGCAGCACGGAATCGGAACTCTACAAAAGCAAGTGAGTCTTCAGAAGGAAGGATCAACCAGCTTTGCTGAACATAATGAACATACATGATGATCTCACATCAGCAGCAAGGCACGATTTACATCATGACTTTTGGCGTGAGCTTCGCGACAGCGTCAAGCTGGATGCAGAGATCTACGTCACACTTGAAGGTTCACTCATCCTTGGTCGTACTCATAGATTGGTTCGTGATGCGCAGGAGTCCATCATGTACTATGACATGCAATCATAAGACAAGCAAATTGCATCATTTTACTGTGATCTTTGCGGGATCTCGGAAGAATCTCTCGAACCCGTTCCTTCCCCGGCACTTCCAGAGTCAAGTCAAGTATGCAAGGTGAAGAAGCAGAGAAGCAAGGTGAGTGGCATCGTGATGCTGGCAAGGCATTAATGTGCTTGCTTTGGTTGAGTCGCCTCAGTCGACCAGATCTCTCCTTCATCATTTGCATCTTCATCGGCGTAAAGACGGGTGACAATCTGTTTCCCATACATTGACAGAGTCGCAAGCAATCAAGCATTGCGCGTTCTACGCCTGAAGCTGAAATGATAGCCTTCGCAATGTATGGCGAGACACTCCATGTTCAGGCGGAACTAGTCATGCAACTTTTCGAACTGACATCAACGTGAAACTGGAATAGCACAATGATGCAATATTGAAAATCATTGGCAACAAGTATTCCGTGAAGTTGCGTCACTGCAATCGAGTTCACCGGGTGAACATCGCAACGCGGAAACTCAATGATCCCACCATGCCAGTGGCAAGTTGCCTTGAACCAACTGTGTGTTGAGCGAGGTTGATTTCCGTTTTAAATTGCATCCTTCTTTTGGTTGCCCGGAAATACATTTGGGGCCAGCAAGTACGGCGTGGGGGGGAGTTATAATTTCATGATGTATTTCAATGTATACAGTCCACCCACCCCTACATGCTGTTGCTGTGTCTTGTCTTGTGTACATTCAAGCTGTAAAGCGCCGCTACTACTTGGCTCAAGTGAACCAAGTGTTTGCCGCCGTTCATTGAGTGGGTGTGCTGGTAAGCTGCGCAAACCCAACTACACAAAGTTATATCATATCGTTAGAGCCTTATTGCTTGCGAAACAACTTTCTGACCCTGCACAGAAAAAACACGGCCTGCAGGGCTTGTGATGGCGGGGACACAGACAGTCCGTTGACACCGCCGTTGTCACCAGCCTTTGGTGGAAGCAATCCAGAAGGATGGCAGCCCGTCGCAACAGAAGTCTCAAGAACTGCAGAGGTTAACATCAATAGCCTCTGGTTTCGACATTCAACCTGTGCTCCTGGCCGTCTTGGGAAGTGGAGGCAACGGAGGGAGCTCCGGCGCATCCTGACCATCGATGTGTGAAGAGTAAGCAACTCCCAGGCCATACCGTAAGATACAAAAGTGCTTGCATCAATCCCATGTCTGTCGGACAGATCTTGTGCGCCACATCTGTGTAAGTAGGGTTAAGAAAAATATGAAATGCGTCAGTGGGAGGCTTTCAAAACCAAAGCACACAAATTATATTGTTTGCTCAGGGAAGCACGGTCAAGAAAGGCAGGTAGAGAGTCTCATGGTTTTTCAAAACAACTTTCTGGCTCTCGATAGAAAAACACGGCCTGCAGGCTTTGCGATGGCGGGGACACAGACAGTCCGTTGACACCGCCGTTGTCACCAGCCTGTGGTGGAAGCAATCCAGAAGGATGGCAGCCCGTCGCAACAGAAGTCTCAAGAACTGCAGAGGTTAACATCAATAGCCTCTGGTTTCGACATTCAACCTGTGCTCCTGGCCGTCTTGGGAAGTGGGGGCAACGGAGGGCGCTCCGGCGCATCCTGACCAGTGATCTGTGAAGAGTAAGCAACTCCCAGGCCATACCATAAGATACCGCAAGGGCTTGCATCAGTCCCACGTCTTTCGGGCAAATCTTGTCAACCTCATCTGAGTAAGTACGGTCAGGACAGTCAGGACATATCATGGATACATATGTCAGGACAGTGCTTTCGAAACGGAAGCAGGAAAATTATCAAAATAAATTTAGTTAGAAAACTTCCGAGCTACGGACGCTTGTCATGGGCAGGATTTCCACCATCATGTCAACCGCATCATCATGTCAACCACATCACCAAAGGTCAAAACACTCTCGAGCGCGGAACCTTGTGTTTTTTTCGGGTGATGTGGCTCCTGGGGTCGCCGCAGCAGGGTCTCTGTTTCCCTAGCGAGAGCTCGATTTGCACTTCAAAATGCTTAAATTGACGGGCTCGGAGCACTTTTAGAAGAGGGGGTCGGCAAAATATGGCAAAATGCGCGCTAGAGTAGCGATTTTCACTTCAAATTGTTAAAAAATTGACGGGCGCGGAGCACTTTTGGAATTTGAAGTCGGCGAAATGTGCACCAGACTGCAGCAAGAGCTCGATTTCACACAAAAATCGCTAAAAAACGCCAATCTCGGAGTAGCGCGGAATTGTCCCGTCTTCACTGCGCGAACGTTGGTCGATTCAGCGCGGCGCTATGGGGGTTTGCAACCAGCTGTTTCAAAACGCATTGGCACGGCTGCACGCAGCAACAGCTGAGTGATGCTGCGACGCATGGGAAGCACGATTGCAGCTGGAGGCTGCTAAACGCATTTTAACAGCCGCACGAAAGGTAGTTTTAGACCATAGTGCTACTTTGTGCTTTTTGGGATTGCAGCTGGAGGCTGCTAAACGCATAGAGGTAGCTGGGAGGCAGCTCAGAGTCAGAGAAGAAGTAGCCCGGATAAGAGGCTGCTCAGAGAAGAAGCAGCTGAAAGAAGAGGTACCTCAGCGAAAATGTCGCTCAGTGAAGAAGTCGCTCAACAAAAAAGTATAGCTCACTTATTATCCATCCATTCATTCGTTTCGGTTTATTTATTCTTACTTGATTCATTGCCTCACCGACTCACTAGTTCTTTCATTCGTTAATTCACTGATTCATTGATACTCACTGCTTCATCGATTCACTACTTCAATCATTCACTGACTCACTGATTCATTACAGTAATTCATTGCTTCACTGATTCAACGATTCATCTACTCAAATCTAATTCACTCGTTCATTGATTCATTGATTCACTGCTTCACTGATTTACTGCTTCATTACAGTACTTCATTGACTCACTGAATCATCTATTTTTGATTCACTGAATCAGTGATTCATTGCATCAGCGATTCATTGATTCATCGATTCATTGAAACCATTGGTTCGTTAACAATCACTGATCCATCTAGTTCACTCATTTTTCGCATTGGTTCATTGATTCATCGACTGACTAATTCATTCATTCGTTGGATCACTGCAACGTCGACTCGTTGATGCATCGATTCATTGACTCATTGGTTCATCATCCATCTGTGACTCACTGCTTCATTGGTTAACTGCTTCATCGGCTCATCGACTCACTAACTCACTCATGCACTGATTCACTGCATCATGAAACCGTTGATTGATGCATTGGCTCACTGAATCATTGATTCATTGCATCATTGATGCATCGGTTCATTGGCTCATCGACTCACCAAATCATTCATTCATTGACTCATTGATTCATTGGCTCATGCGGTCAGTTGTGCATGGATTCTCATGTCATTCCATTCGCATCTCAACCACCATTTGCTCATTCGTTGACGCACCTCACAACTTGAACAATTGAACAATTCATTGCTTCTGCATCGCACAAACTTTCCCATATGCCATTGGTTTCCTATATCCGCTTCCTATTTTCGAAACTTCTGCCCCGGCATGGGCCGGGCACTGCTGGTGTGAAATTATTTTCCTTGCTCGAGGAATCACAGTCAAGGAAGGCAGGTAAAGAGTTTTGTTGCTTGGCAAAACAACTTTCTGACCCTGGACTCCTGGACAGCAAAAAACATGGCCTGCAGGCTTTGCGATGGCGGGGACACAGACAGTCCGTTGACACCGCCGTTGTCACCACCCTTTGGTGGAAGCAATCCAGAAGGATGGCAGCCCGTCGCAACAGAAGTCTCAAGAACTGCAGAGGTTAACATCAATAGCCTCTGGTTTCGACATTCAACCTGTGCTCCTGGCCGTCTTGGGAACTGGGGGCAACGGAGGGCGCTCCGGCGCATCCTGACCAGCGATGTGTGAAGAGTAAGCAACTCCCAGGCCATACCGTAAGATACAAAAGTGCTTGCATCAATCCCATGTCTGTCGGACAGATCTTGTGCGCCACATCTGTGTAAGTAGGGTAGAGAAAATATGAAATGCGTCAGTGGAAGGTTTTCAAGACCAAAGCACACAAATTTTATTGCTTGCTCAGGGAAGCACGGTCAAGAAAGGCAGGTACTGTAAAGAGTCTCATGGCTTTGCAAAACAACTTTCTGACCCTGGACTCCCTGGACAGCAAAAAACATGGCCTGCAGGCTTTGCGATGGCGGGGACACAGACAGTCCGTTGACATCGCCGTTGTCACCAGCCTTTGGTGGAAGCAATCCAGCAATCCAGAAGGATGGCAGCCCGTCGCAACAGAAGTCTCAAGAACTGCAGAGGTTAACATCAATAGCCTCTGGTTTCGACATTCAACCTGTGCTCCTGGCCGTCTTGGGAAGTGGAGGCAACGGAGGGAGCTCCGGCGCATCCTGACCAGCAATGTGTGAAGAGTAAGCAACTCCCAGGCCATGCAAAGATGCTTGCATCAATCCCATGTCTGTCAGACAGATCTTGTGCGCCACATCTGTGTAAGTAGCGTGGAGAAAAAATGAAATGCGTCAGTGGAAGGTTTTCAAGACCAAAGCACACAAATTTTATTGCTTGCTCAGGGAAGCACGGTCAAGAAAGGCAGGTAAAGAGTCTCATGGCTTTGCAAAACAACTTTCTGACCCTGGACTCCCTGGACAGCACAAAACACAGCCTGCAGGGTTTGTGATGGCGGGGACACAGACAGTCCGTTGACATCGCCGTTTTCACCACCCTTTGGTGGAAGCAATCCAGAAGGATGGCAGCCCGTCGCAACAGAAGTCTCAAGAACTGCAGAGGTTAACATCAATAGCCTCTGGTTTCGACATTCAACCTGTGCTCCTGGCCGTCTTGGGAACTCGATTAAATGGCGGCAACACAATTCCTTCGGCGGCATCAATTTCAACTACTTCAGCCTCGGAGTCACGGGTTCCCGCTGTCTGTAGCAACATGTCATGTCTCCAGGACAATTGGCAAGAGATTGCGCGCGGGCACAATCATAATAATCATCGTAGGCTTTTTGCTCTCATTGAACTTGTAAGATTTCTAAGTAGGAGCAAAGGCACCGAACAGCAAAAAGACACGAGGCCAAACCAAGACATAATAAACGATGTCTAAAAGTGTACCAACCAAGGAAAGGCCAGACCAGACCTGCAGACAAGCAGAAGAAGGAAGAAGAAAAGCACAACAAGAGAGAGAAGGAGGAGGAGAAGAAGAAAAACCACAAGGACACCTCACAGAAGAAAACAGATCAAGTATGGAACAGCTAGGTCGGTCAATTATGGAAAAAGCAAGGAAGCGCCGTGGTAAAATGGCAAAATCCAACACTTACCACAAGTGGGAAATCACAGGGCAGTACGACAAACCGCGTGTTTTGCATGCCGGGTGCCACTCAAGAGGCGCCTTCAACAAGAAGATGAGACTTAAGTCAGGACCTCTTAGGAATTTCGGGAGCGTGCTTCTAGAGTATATTCTACATTTTCATATACACATAATTACAAATACTGTACATAACATATGTCCCGGCAGCCCTGGGGTTCTCCGAGTGCTGATCGCGTTGACCAGGTCCGTAGAAGTTCTTTTGTACGCTTTTTGACGCTCTTGATGCTACGCTGTAGAAATTCTTTTGTACGCTTTCAGACGCTCTTGACGCTACGCCGTAGAGGTTCTTTTGTACGCTTTATGACGCTCTTGATGCTACGCCGTAGAAGTTCTTTTGTACGTTTTATGACGCTCTTTTTCTACGCTCTAGACGTTCTTTTGATGGTACGCTTTCAGACGCTCCTGATGCTACGCTGTAGAATTTTTTTTGTATGCTTTCAGACGCTCTTGATGCTACGTTGTAGAAGTTCACTTGTACGCTTTCAGGCGCTCTTGATGCTACGCTGCGCAAGTTCTTTTGTACGCTTTCAGATGCTCGCGAAGACGCTGGAAGCAGAAAAAATGCTGACTAGACGACGGATGGCCCGAGAGCGTAGAGGAGCAGGCTCTTCTCTTGTTAGTATGGAGAAACCATGTTACAAAACAATATATTAAAGATGTGTTATAGGCAGTCGAGAAGAGGAGTATCAAGACAATATAGCACAAGTACAAGACAATAGTTTGCATCGCAAACACTTTTACACACAGAAGCTTTTACACACAGACGTTTTTACACACAAAAGCTTTTACACACAGAAGCTTTTACACACAGAAGCTTTTACACACAAAAGCTTTCACACACAGAAGCTTTTACATACAGGCACTTTCACACACAGACGCTTTTTACACACAGACGCTTGTACACACGGACGCTTTTACACACAGGCGCTTTTACACGCAGACACTTTTAGACACAAACACTTTTACACACAGACGCTTTTACACACAGACGCTTTTACACACAGGCGCTTTTACACACAGAAGCTTTTACACACAGACACTCTTACACCGAGACCCTTTTACACACAGGAGCTTTTACACACAGAAGCTTTTACACGCAGACGCTTTTACACACATACGCTTTTACACGTAGACGCTTTTACACACAGGCGCTTTTACACACAGACGCTTTTACACACAGACACTTTTACACCCAGACGGTTTTACACACAGACGCTTTTACACACAGAAGCTTTTACACACAGACGCTTTTACACACAGAAGCTTCCACACACAGAGACTTTTACACACACACACACGCTTTTACACACAGGCGCTTTTACACACAGACACTTTTAAACACAGACGTTTTTACACACAGGCGCTTTTACACACAGACGTTTTTACACACAGGCGCTTTTACACACAGACAGTTTTACACACAGAGACTTTCACACACAGACGCTTTTGGACCACACAGTTCGGTCATTCTGAGAGCATTTCCCCACACAGACTTATTTACGCACACACACACTCGCTTTTATACGCACACGCTTTTACACACAGACACTTTTACACGCAGACGCTTGTACACGCAGACGCTTTTACACGCAGACGCTTTTACACACAAACGCTTTGACACAATGACTTATACACACAACAGAAACTTTTACACACAGAAGGCTTTACACACAGACGCTTTTACACACAGATGCTTTTACACACAGAAAATTTTACACACAGAAGCTTTTACACGCAGAGGCTTTTACATACAGAAGATTGTACACACAGAAGCTTTTACACAGACGCTTTTTACACAAACGCTTTTACACAGAAGCTTTTACACACAGACACTTTTACACACAGACACTTTTACACACACACACACGCTTTTACACACAGTCGCTTGTACACACGGACGTTTTTACACACAGACGCTTTTACTCAACAGAAACTTTTACATACACAGACGGCTTTACACACAGACGCTTTTACACACAGAGGCTTTTACACACAGAAGATTTTACACACAGAAGCTTTTACACACAGAGGCTTTTACACACAGAAGATTGTACACACACAATCTTTTACACAGACGCTTTTTACACAAACGCTTTTACACACAGAAGCTTTTACACACAGACACCTTTACAGACAGAAACTTTTACACACAGACGCTTTTACACACAGACACTTTTACACAGAGCACACAGAAGCTTTTAAGCAGACGCTTTTACACAGACGCTTTTACACAGATGCTTTTACACACAGAAGCTTTGACACACAGCACACAGAAGCTTTGTACACACAGAAAAAATCGCAATTTTACCTCAGTTTTTGGCTATCAACCCTCATTTCGTGCGAAAGGGTTGCACCGGGAACCCGGAAATCGCAATTTTACCTCAGTTTTTGACGATCGAACCTCATTTCGTGCGAAAGGGTTGCACAGTTGCACCGGACACCTTGAAATCGCAATTTTACCTCAGTTTTTGACAATCGAACCTCATTTCGTGCGAAAGGGTTGCACGGGACGACTTGAACTCGCACTTTTACCTCAGTTTTTGACGATCGAACCTCGTTTCGTGCGTAAGGGTTGCGCGGGGCACCTTCAAATCGCAATTTTACCTCAGTTTTTGGCGATCGCACCTCATTTCGTGCGAAGGGGTTGCGCCGGACACCTTGAAATCGCAATTTTACCTCAGTGTTTGGCGATCGAACCTCATTTCGTGCGAAAGGGTTGCGTTTCGTGCCGTCTCGTTGGCACTGCCCCTCCCCGCCTTCAGAAGAGAAATAGAAAAGAAGGAGAAGGCAAGAGGGCAAGAGGGCAAGAGGAGAAGATGTGAAGATGTGAGGATGTGAAGATGTGAGGATGTGATGAAGATGTGAATATGTGAGGATGAGAAGATGTGAAGAAGAGGGCAAGAGGGCAAGAGGCCAAGAGGGCAAGAGGAGAAGATGTGAAGATGTGAGGATGCGAAGATGAGAAGATGAGAAGATGAGAAGATGTGAAGATGAGAAGATGAGAAGTGAGAAGATGTGAAGATGAGAAGATGTGAAGGATGTGAAGATGAGAAGGTGTGAAGATGAGAAGATGTGAAGAGAGAGGATGTGAAGATGAGAAGATGTGAAGATGAGAAGATGAGATACAGACCCCCACTATTGGAAGAACCCTGCGCTCAGACGCTCTCGGGAACTATCATCACATGTGCCTGTGTGAAAACCACAAATTCGCTTGTTAATTACAATGGATTTCGAAAGATTTCGAAAGGCTGTTCATTTTGCATGGTGTCCACAGTACTTTGGAAGCATTGTAAACTTGGTGGTAGGATTGCAATCGGAAAGAATCGACAACCCTTCCACAGTTTTTGCCTTGTGATAAGTTCCAAAAAAAAAGATTATCCCGGCAAGAGACCCGCAACAGTGTGGGGGAGGTTGGGAGGATAATGTATGATGATCGAAGGAAGTTTAGAAGTCAAACTTCCGACAATATGGACAGATGAAAAGCAGAGCAGGGCAGAGGCAGAGAGAAGAGGAAGATTAGAAGAAAGAAGAGTAGAAGAGAAAGATTAAGAAGAAAGAAGATGCAGATGCGCGAAAAGGTAGGAAAGTCGCGAAACACTGTGTTTTTCCAATGATTTGTGGCTCCGGAAGGTCGAAAAGTAGGCTCGCTAAAGCGGCGGGTGCGGAGCTAGCTGGCCAGACGAGTGATGAAAAATTGCACGCAGTTGTGGCGCGAAGCACATTTCGAAGTCAAAATGTACAAAACACCTCAGCGTCGGACCACTTTTGGAAGTTGCGATGTCGAAAAAGTGCACGCCGTTGTGGCGCGAAGCACATTCTAAGTGAAAATGTACAAAGCACACCATTCTCGGACCACTTTTGGGAGTTGCGATGTCGAAAAAGTGCACGCCGTTGTGGCGCGAAGCACATATCGAAGTGAAAATGTACAAAACACACCATGTACGGACCATTTCTGGAGGTTCAGATGTCGAAAAAGTGCACGCCGTTGTGGCGCGAAGCACATTTCGAAGTCAAAATGTTAAAAACAGCATGGGTTCGGACCATTTTTGGAGGTTCAGATGTCGCTTCGCTTTGCTTCACTACACTACACTACATTACACTACACTACACTCCACTACACTACATTACACTACACTGCACTCCACAACACTACAACTACAACTAGAACTACACTCCACTACGCTCCACTACACTCCACTACACTCCACTGCACTAAATTACACTACACTACACTACATTACACTACACTCCACTACACTACACTACCTTCCACTACACTTCACTACATTACTCTACACTACACTCCACTACACTACAACTACAACTACAACTACACTCCACTACACGCCACTACACTCCACTACACTCCACTACACTCAGTTACACTACACTACATTACACTACACTACACTCCACTACACTACATTACACGACACTACCTTCCACTACACTCCACGACACTAAATTACACTACACTACACTACATTACACTACACTACACTACATTCCACTACACTCCACTACACTACATTACACTGAATGACACTGCACCACAGATAGACAGGTAGACAGGTAGACAGGTAGACAGGTAGACAGGTAGACAGATAGATAGATAGATAGATAGACAGATAGATAGACAGAAAGACAGGTAGACAGCTAGACAGATAGACACATGAAAGCGAGAGAGAGAGAGAGATAGATCGATAGATAGATACATAGAAGATAGGTAGGTAGGTAGGTAGGTAGGTAGGGATTCGCTCTGCCGTCCCTGATTCACAACAAGCAACCTCTCCTATAGGTTTCCTATTTTTGAAACTTCCGCCACCGCCTTGTGCGGTACTACTGGTATGGCAGGATGAGGATGAGGATGAGGATGAGGGTGAGGATGAGGATGATGATGATGGTGATGATGATGATGATGATGATCATGATGATGATGATGATGACGATGATGATGACGACGACGACGATGATGATGATGATGGATGATGATGGATGATGATGGATGATGATGGATGATGGATGATGGATGATGGATGATGGATGATGATGATGATGATGATGAGGATGAGGATGACGATGGCGATGACGATGACGATGATGGTGATGATGATGATGATGATGAAATGATATGATATGATATGATGATGATGATGATGGTGATGTGATGATGATGATGATGGTGATGTGATGATGATGATGATGATGATGATGAGGGTGAGGATGAGGATGAGGATGAGGATGAGGATGAGGATGAGGATGAGGTTGAGGAGGAAAATTGTGCGGAGGATGATGATGTTGAGGATGATGATGTTGCGGAAGATGAGGTAGAGGAGGATGGTGTTGCGGAAGATGAGGTGGAGGAGGATGATGTTGCGGAAGAGGAGGTGGGGGGGATGATGATTTGGAGGATGATGCTGTTGAGGAGTATGCGGAAGATGAAGTTGAGGATGAAAAGGCGGAGGAAAGGCCTAAAGGACCTAAAAGCATCAGTGGCTGCAAGCTGGCAGGACAAGAGCGACCCTAGTAGTGAAAAGAAGAGATACCAGGTAAGATTCTGCACCCTCCCTTTGTGAAGATCTCTGTAGAAGATCGTGCGCAAGATCTCCTTGACAGGTTCTCTGTAGAAGCTGCTGAGCAAGATCCCTGTGTAAGGCTATCTGTACAAGGTGTCCGCAGAAGATCTTTGTAAGGGATCTCAAAGAGTAAGATCTCTGTTCAAACTATCTGGAAATGACCTCCAAGCAAGGCCTCTGCTCTTTTACCAGGTCTCTGTGCAAGATCTCCATAAGAGGTCTCATGGCAAGATCTCTGTACAAGATCTCTCTACCAGGGCTCTGTTGGCAAGATCTCTGTACAGATCTCTGTAAGAGGTGTCTTGGCAAGACCTCCTGGACAAGATCTCTATAAGAGATCTCTTTTTGAGATCTCTGTAGAAGCTCTCTGACAAAGCTCTCTTGGCGAGATTTATGTAGGAGACCTCTTGGCAAGATCTCTAGAACAAGATCTCTATGCAATGTTTCTGTACAAGGTCTTTATAAGAGGTGTCCTGGCAAGATCTCTGTACAAGATTCCTATAAGATGTCTCTTGGCAAGATCACTGTAAGGGGCCTCTTGGCAAGGTCTCAAAAGATCTCTATGCAATGTCTCTGTACAAGATCTCTTATTATGAAACCTCTGCACAGGCTCTCTGGAAGAGTTCTCTGGGCAAGATTTTTGTAAGAGACTTCGTGGCAAGATCTCTGCACAGATCTCTCGAAGAGGTCTCTTGGCAAGACCTCCTGGACAAGATCTGTATAAGAGATCTCTTGGCAAGATATCTTTATGAGATCTGTACAAGATCTCTCTACCAGAGCTCTGTTGGCAAGATCTCTGTAAGAGACCTCATGGCAAGATCTCTGTACAAATCGCTAGAAGAGGTGTCTTGGCAAGACCTCTTGGACCACACTTTGTGCGAGCCTGCGCAGTCGAAATGCACTTCAACACTTCACAATAGACATCAGAAGAGCCACTTCACACTGAAATTGGAATACATGTCCACATTTCACAAGAGACATCAGAAGAGCCACTTTATACAGAAATTTACAGGAAAAATGCCGCGACCCAGATTGGGCCCAGAACGCGGACACACACTTTGTGCGAGCCTGCGCAGTCGAAATGCATGTCCACATTTCGGGCCCAGAATGCGACACACACTCTGTGCGAGCCTGCGCAGTCGAAATGCATGTCCACATTTCACAAGAGACATCAGAAGAGCCACTTTACTCAGAAATTTACAGGAAAAATGCCACGGCCCAGATGCGGCCAAAAACCGCAGCGCAGACGTTGTGCGAGCCTGCGCCATCGAAACGCATGTCAAGATTTCACAAGAGCCACTTTGTACGGAAATTTACAGGAAAAATGCCGCGGCCCAGAACCTCGGCGCACACTGTGTGCGAGCCTGTGCAGTCGAAACACGTGTCAAGATTTCACAAGAGCCACTTTATGCGGCAATTTGCAGGTCAAATGCCGCAGACCAGCGTGAGCATGTGAGCACCCTGATCAAGCACCGGCCTTCACACTTTTCGTAAGAACCCCTCAGTGCGGACACACTGTTTGGGGAATGATGTTACATTCTCTGTTTTCTGAAACAGACATTTTTGAAAAATGTCCGCGCAACAGAAGACTGCTAAGGATGATTGCTTCAGAGACAACGCAAAAACACTGGAAAAAACAATGCAAAATACACATTTCATGATGAGGGATTTCACATGATTTCATTCAAGGCATGTGGGTCCCGGAGAACCTAGGGGCCGCACCGTCATATGTTTATGTGTACGTATGATACATTCTTCTCTATGTCACGAAGTGCTGCTGCTTGGCGTTTTGAAAGGAGAGGAAAAGGATAGACAGGAAAACAATGACCAAGACCCGGCTAACGAAGAGAATCCAGAACGGTAAAGAACGGTACAGTGGGTTTGGGGAAATTTGCCCAACACATTGCGTCTGTCTGTCTGAGTTTGCTGCTGGCCCTGAGGGCATCTGCGGTAGTGGGATTTGCGCAAACTTCTTCCTAGCCTCGCAGGACCACTAGTCACACACGGAAGTTCGTCATTGAAGTATACTGAAGCCCTGTGCTAAGCATAGCTGTCAGTCAAAACACCTTCATTGCTTGGGCCACATGGCTCAACCCCATTGGGCACCAACACTGACTTCATGGCTCAACAAGCCAACAAGTTGATTAAGATCTGTGCAGCAGATCCTCCTGGCGGGAGAGGAGGCTTTGCCTCCACAATTCAACTGGCAGAAATGCAAAAGCTTCGTGCTAAGGCTGCAAAGGCCTCTCCAGTCATGTCAAGAATGTGACACACTGGCCAAATGCATATCCCGAGTTCTGCCACAAAAGCCGAATTCGGGCAAGGTCTGCGATGGCCTGCTGGAATACGCTTATTCGCCGCCTGGCAATATCAGTACACATCATTACAATATCTGAAATGTTCTCTACTAGTTCAACTTGTTCCAACTGTTCAAGACTGCATGGATCACAATCTCTGACACAGACACAAGAAGGTATTGTGTGTCCTTTGGACCACGGCTCAGGTGTGAAAAGACATGAAAAGCTTGCTTGTCAAATGAAAAGCGGTGCAGATCTCGCGAATGTTTCATTTCAGGCAATACAGGGCCCGCCTTCTTCTGTAGCAATAACCTATCTGGCCTGCGCACATGTTTTGGACAATGGGCCGACATGGGCCGACATGGGCCGACAACAAGCTGTGTAGCAATGATATGGCCCATATTTGGATAAATGGCATTATTCCAGCGCGGCCTCAGGCAATGTGGCCGTGTACTGAAAAAACAAGATGCAGCCCACGAGCCCGAATGCAGTCACGTAGAACACTTTCGTGAAACAAATTACTTGAACAGTCTACATTTTTCCGTGCTACCGTACCAGTGCACTGTAGACTGTGGAATGCGGAAGAGGGTGGAGTGCAAAGTGTGGAGTGTAGAGTGTAAAGTGTGGAGCGTAGAGTGTAGAGTGATGTAGAGTGTAAAGTGTGGAGTGTAAAATGTGGAGTGTAAAGTGTGGAGTGTAAAGTGTAAAGTGTGGAGTGTGGAGTGTAAAGTGTAGTGTGCAAAGTGTAGAGTGTAAAGTGTAGAGAGTGGAGTGTGGGGTGTAAAGTGTGGAGTGTGGAGTGTGGAGTGTACAGTGTGGAGGGAGGAGTGTAAAGTGCAAAGTTTGGAGTGTAGAGTGCAAAGTGTAGAGTGTAAAGTGTGGAGTGTAAAGTGTAGAGTGCGGAGTGTGGAGTGTAAAGTGTAGAGTGTGGAGTGTAAAGTAAGGAGTGTAAAGTAAGGAGTTTAAAGTCAGGAGTGTAAAGTAAGGAGTGTAAAGTAAGGAGTGTAAAGTAAGGAGTGTGGAGTGTAAAGTGTAGATTATGGAGTGACCAGTGTACAGTGAGGAGTGCAGAATTAAAAGTATCCAGTGTAAAGTCTAAAGTGTGGACTGTAGAGTGGAGTGTAGAGCGCGGAGTGTGGAGAGTCAAGTGTAGAGCGTGTAAACAGTAGTGTGTGGAATGTACAGCGTGGAGTGTAAAGTGTATATTGTGCAGTGTAGAGCGTGGAATGCAAAGTGTGGACTGTGGAGTGTAAAGTGTGGAGTGTGGAGTGTGAAGTGTGGAGTGTGAAGTGTGGAGTGTAGAGTGTAAAGTGTGGAGTGTGGAGTGTAAAGTGTAGAGTCTGGAGTTTGCAGTGTAGGGTGTAGCGTGTGGAGTGTTGAGTGTTGAGTGTAGTGTGTGGAGTGCGGAGTGTAGAGTGCAAAGTGTAGAGTGTAAAGTGCAAAGTGTGGAATGTAAAGCGCGGAGTGTAAAATGTAAAGTGCGGAGTGTAAAGAGAGTGGAGTGTGGAGTGTAGAGTGTGGAGTGTAGAGTCTGGAGTGTGGAGTGTAAAGTGTGGGGTGTAAAGTGTGGAGTGTAAAGTGTGGAGTGAGGAGTGTCAAGTGTAAAGTATTGAGTGAAAAGTAAAAAGTCTGGAGTGTGGAGTGTACAGTGTAAAGTGCGGAGTGTAAAGTGTAAAGAGTGGAGTGTAGAGTGTAAAGTGTAGAGTGTGGAGTCTGAAGTGTGAAGCGTGGAGTGTAAAGTGTGGAATGTGGAGTGTAGAGTGTAAAGTGCGGAGTGTAAAGTGTAAAGTGGGGAGTGTTGTGTGCAGAGTCTGGTGTGCAGAGTACGGAGTGTAAAGTGTAAGTCTTAAGCGTGGAGTGTAAAGTGTGGAGTGTAAAGTGTAAAGTGTGGAGTGTGGAGTGTAGTGTGTGGAGTGTAGAGTGTAGTCTGCGCCTGCCACGAAAACTGCAACTCATCTTGTGAGAGCGACCCAAAAGTATTGCGCCTGTCACACAAAACGATTTTCGACACGTTAGCAAACAGCTTGGAATGTCACAAAGTGCCACGGCTGCCACGCAAAACGACATGACAAACCTGCTTGGAAACCTTCGAAAAGGAGGGGTTTTGCAGCTTCCCCCATAGACACGGCGAGGCCACAGGAAAACCAGAGACTCGAGACGAGACACGTTGGAGCATCAAAGCCAGCATTTCGTGTGAGGCGTCTTCCGATTTTCAGAATTTGTAGCTTCAGAATCGACGTTTTCCTACGATTTTTCTTGTGAACCTCAAAATTTGCTACCTCAAAATCGATGTTTCGTGCGGGACTTCCGTCAATTTTCATCACATCTCACAAAATGAGCTGCCTGCCACGGAATTTGCACCTTGCCGCCACTTGACGCAGCCCTGACAATGCGATCCGCAAAAAAACGCAACACGACACGTCCAAAGTGCTGCGCCTGCCACGCAAAATGACGATGGACACGTCCAAAGCTCTGCGCCTGCCACGAAAACTGCAACGCATCTTCTAAAGGTATTGCGTCTGCCACACAAAACGACTTTCCACATGTTACGACACACGTCTGAACGTCACGAAGTGTCACGCCTGCCATGCGAAACAAAGCAACGCAACGTTTCAAACCTCCAAAAATGACCCCTTTTGCAGAACTTACCATAGGCACGGCCATACGGCCCTCACGCAGACGGTTGCGGACGGCTGCGAACGGTTGCGAACGGTTGCGCAACGTCGAGCGCACACACCCTCAACCCCCAGACCCCCAGAGTGAAACGGGAACCCTTGCTACGCATTCGGGAAAAGTACACATGTGGTGGGATCAATGTATTCTGTCCATGCAATCTACATACTGTACTGTCAGTGACTTGTGTAGTGTAATGTCAACCCTGGATTAATAAACCCCTAGGTTGTTTAATTGGGGGGATACCATTTAAGTATCAGATCATGACTATTTGGGGAGTACCCCCCCTAATTAATAAACTATGGTTATCTATGGTTTATTAATCCGGGGTTGACATTATGCAGTGTATGCGGTGTATGCAGTGCATGCAGTGTATGCCATGTTTGCAGTGGAGTGTAGGAAAGCTTGACACTGTGTGCCTCGGCTTGTGATATTTTGATATATTTTGTGATAGTGCTAGAAAATGTCACTGAGGGTGTTGCTCACCAGCACTGCAAGGCCAGCTGTCTTGCCCTTCGCATCAGGCGCAGGGATAGATGCTGAGAGCGCTACATGACCTCATCGGCACATCGACATGAAAACAGCAAGACGTCAGCCAGACTTGACTGATAATTCAAAATTCATTCAAAATTAATTCAAATATATTCAAACGCTCGATCAAACCAGACCCAGATGAAAGCTTTCAGCTTTGTCATCATTAGTTTGTAATAGCTCGCAAAACTTTGTCTCAGTCAACCTTTGCCCCGGCTGGGGGCGAAGACGAGCGGAGGGTACCGCCGGCAAGTTTGCTTTGCGACAACAAACCTGGCTAAGCCGAATCGGCGCAGTCCATGAGGATTATCATGAATATTGATGAATGATCCAATGATGTCCCTACAAAATCTACAAACATGTTTGAGCTTCTTTGATGAACATCTCAGAGCGTCTTTGATCCGTTTGTTCTGTTTGATCTGTTTGATTTGTTTCTTGGCAGGTTTTCTTTGCTCAGAAATGGCGTTAACCGACATCGTCGAATTAAGACATGGCAAGATGAACTGCTGCAACTCGCCAAGCACACAAAAACAAGTTTGATCCAATATGATGTTTCCAAGCATTGCATTAAACATTAAACAATCATCGTGATCATCGTGTATCCTCAGAAAATGCAGCTGACCCGTGTTGTCAAGCATGATTCTGAACAGTCTGAACAGTCACTGGTTCACATTGCCTTCTTTGAAATTCATGGGCACGTCTTGACCGTCTTGCGTCCAGCTTTGCATCTAAGTTTTTCATGTGGTTTTGTCTCCAGTCGATCATTGCCTGTGCCTCATTTTCGATCTCGGTTTGTAAGTCCTTCTTCATTTGCTTCAAGGCATCCTCGAGCTCGGCATGTTGCTTCTGAGCATGTCCCCATTCTTCATGGATCTGCTGCATAGCCTGGAGAGCCAGAGATGCCTCATTTCCTGCTGCTTCAGACTCTGCTTTGCATTGTAACATCTTAGCCCGACTGGCTTCTGTAGACTCTTCTTGCTTTTTAAGAGCACTTACCAGGGATTCGAGGTCTTTCATGCGTTTCGCTAAATCACTGTTGAGGTCAATCTTTGACTGTTCAATCTTCGTGATCCGCTGACGGCACGCTGCCTTCAACTCCATTCTCTTCTGCCGTTCCTCTGCCACACCTTGTGCAAGACCCTCTTCTTCGCTCTTTATCGCGTCAGCACAGCTTTGGACCCTTTGACGCTCTAGCAGCAAGTCAGCCTCTTCCTTGTCGAGCAAGCGTGTCTCCTCCACTATTTGTTGCACTTTCTTTTGCCTCGCTCGAAGTTGTTCCTGGAGCTTCTGAAGAGTCCTTTGAAGACCGTGCACATCTTTTGTCTGCTGTGTGTTTGAAAGTAGTGTATCGTTCAGCTCCTCCAACGTTGACTGCAACCTTGACTGGGCTGTACGCCTGGATCGCTGTGCAGCTGGAAATTCGGAGGCAACCTTCTCTTGTTGCCGACGTGCAGCGAAGGCACTCTCTCGAGCTTGTTGCAAGTCTTGTTTTGGATTCTGAAGCTGTGAATAAAGTCTGACTGCGGTTTCTTCAAGGTCGCGGCATGCTTTTGCGGCTTCACCCAAGGTGAGTGAATGCGTGCCTTTCAAATCCATGGCTTCAGTTGTGTCAGATCTTTTTATTGTCACAGACTTAAAGCAACGGAAGGTAGCTCGTCGAAATTGAGCAAGTTTCTACAACATGGACTACAACTTGGACTGAACGCAAAGTATGATGTATGTGAATTATATAAATGCTGATGCGCGGTTCAATCTCCATTGACTCCCAAATCTTACCCAAGGACTTGCAAAATCTTTCATCTCCATTTTGAGGATTGAAAATCAATGGCTGCTAGTGACTGAATCCACAAATCTGAGAGTTGCAAAAAGGCAGATACTTGAACTGACTCAACGCACATCCCTACAATGGCGGGTTATCACGTTCTTTCCGCCTTTGCCATGAGCATCCATGGTTGATCTTCTGAGCCATCTGCGAGTCTACAAGGAGTTCAGTTTGCCACTCCATCAGACCCTATTCATTTTATGGAAGGAATATGAAGCCATCTATGTCAAATTCCTGTTCTGCCTGCGTTCCTGGCCCAGTGATTTCCGTCATTCAACCTGTGAAACGCAGGCTTTCAAAGCCAGCACGGTTGGCTTGTCGCGCCAATAACAAGAGGATTCAATACAACATACTTGTTCACAACTTAGAGCAAAACTTCACGCAGAAATGTGAAAACTGCACGAAATAAATCGCAGCCGAGTCCGGGCGACATCACCACGTCACAGCCACCCACCTTCTGTAAGAGAGCTGGCGGCATCAGCTTCCTGTCCAAACTCTCTTGAAGCATCTTGAAGCATCTTGAAGCTATGACAGCTATGACACTGGGAACGGAAGGCTGACAGGAACGAAAGTCCAGGCCCTCCAGGCAACTGACAACTATACACAACTATCATCTTGATTCATTTTGCACTTGGTCCGCCTCAGTTCAAAACGGAACTTGCATGGCCTTACCTGGGTGCTGCATGGCCCAGAAAACAAAAAGGACTTGATATAAGGAGTTTGGCCTTCAACTAGTGTGAGGAGAGGAGAGACTTTGCTTGTCTTCGCTGTTCATGTAGCGTTCGTAGTAGCCTGATGTGTTCGGTGATGCCTATCCTTTATTTATTCTCTGGATACAAAGATCACGAAAACTATTGCTTGCTGCATCCGTCTTTGTGGGGCCTAGCGGCCTAGCTAGGCACCTCAAGTCACCTCAATCCTGAAGTTATTGAAGTTGTAGCTTCTCTAGTGATCTCTAGTGGGTTTCATAGGCTTGTGAAGCAAAGCTGAGCTACAGCTTGAGTCTAACGGCGAGCAACGATGGACGGCATCAATCTTGCATTTCCAAACCCACAACGGCTGCAGCAAGCTACACCAATGGACAGTCAAAATGCAAACCTTATATAAGGAAGAAAAGGTGTTCACCTTCCTATGGTTCTCCCCTTGATTTCTCAGCGATTTGATCAAAAGCCGGAACATTAAAATCATTAGATAATGAAATCAGGAAGTTTTACTTACCCTGTCAATATATGTCAATGTGACTGATGTGGATGTATGACAAATGTTTAAGTGTCCAGTCTTTGTGAACACAGCAACACACAGGGGATGAAGAAGGATTAAAGGCAGCATGAAGCATCAAGTATCAAACGTATATACTCAATCAAAGGGACAGGTGTGTATATATATGTATATTATATATATATTATATATGTACATATAATATATATATATATACATATATATATATAATATACATATATATATATATGTACAATCATATGCATATGTGTATATATATATATATAATACGGTAACGGTATATATATATATATACAAATATGAATGCCTCTAATGAATGCCCTCTAAGTCGGGTTGCACATCCCAAACGTCGTATTGCAGTGACATTGATGTGGGAGGCCAGCAAATATGTTGTCGACGATGTATTTCCTTACCAATCATTTTTGAACTCTACTGAACTTTACTGTCATCATATGTCGTCAGATGCACCTTGGATTAAAAGTTGAACTCTGTGTGCAGGTTCTGCTGGGTAATTCTGCATCCTTCCCTTCTCCAGTAAGGTTTGGCAGCTCATGTCAGTGGGTGAAACTGTCCTGCTACTCTTGAAAACTGCGCTCACGAAAGAAAGTGCAAGAAATTACAATAAATGACAAGATCCGACAAGACATGACAAGAAATGAGAAGAGCCAGGCTCAGCTCAGCTGGAGTCATGAACCTTCAGCAACCTTGCGGTGACTTGTGGAGACATTGCTGAAATATGCTGAAATCGAGTTGCAAAATGACCAAAATGTTGCAAAGAGGTGCGCTCAGGTTGTCGGTGTCAGTGCTTCATCTCTAAACTTTTAGTTCACGTTGTCATTGTCCCATTCCGTACCGGTAGTGATGTAGTGATCACTACAGTAGCACCTCGTTGTCAGGATTGTGTAGTTCGACTATCGCATTGTTGTAGATATATAGAGGATTTATGATTTAAGTTCTGCCATTGTTTGAGAGCCAAACTGGATGTGGAAAACCAGCGCTGCTCTCGGTGGAATGGGGCCTGCAGAACATCTGACTCGAATGCTGGTCGAACAATGTCCAATGCAATGTGATGGAGGAAAAAACACTTAAATAACTACCCGGTAGTGTACCTGCCTAAAGCTCAATCATGTCCACCTGTCTACAGTATGCGTACAACTGAAACAGCCAATCGTGAGGACATCATGACGACATCATGTTGTGATCATATTGTGATGTCGTGACGATGTCGTGACGATGTTACGACCTCAGGGCATCTTGGTGCCTTCCCCCTAAGGGTCTGCACCTCCAGGAGTTCCGTCGTCCCCGTAGCCAAGGTTGGATGGCATGTACACCTCCCAGGTGTCTCCTTCTTTCATCAGCTGGAGTGCCTAGCAGGGCATAGCATCTAAGTATCACAGTATATCTAAGTCTGATGAATAGATATGAATAGAGTGTTCAACAAAGGCATCCATTGTTCTACATTGACAACAAAATTCCAGTCAGCTTTTCTTTTCAGGCTGCGTGACTTTATTGTCGGCAAGCTGGCAAGAGATGCCACACGCAGCAAAGTCCTGCCTCCGTCCAACCTGGAATCACCTGCGCTATCACGACAAGTGCCAAATTTTCTATCATGTCAATCTGATGAAATGGGATGACAATTATCTTGCTCCTTTGCCTCAGGAAATGCGTTGCATTATGCAAGGATGGAAATGTATGGCCAAACATGAACATAGGTGGCCATGCCTTTGTGGGGTTTGCTTCCAGATTGCTTCATGCAAAATCATCAGGATCCCAATAAATCCATGTTCCTGACTACATCCTACAAGTAAGGCAGCCAAAATCATGTACATAAAAATTGTATAAAAGTCTATAAGTGTATATAAATGAAAGACCACTGGACCGCAGCTGCAACATGTTAGGTCAACCACTAGGGCGATAGCGTTCGCTTGCCTTGCTATGTTGTGTACTTGTGGTCATGACAAGTGGTCTTTTTCGTTCGAGGAAGAAAGTGGGAGGGAGAAGGAGGGAGAAGGGGGATGCAACGGTGGTTTGGATGTTTTCTCAAGACTTTGCCATGCAAGTCAAAGCATTGTCAAAGCATGATGATTCGATATATTCGATGCTGTGATACAAAGCAACATGATTTGGCTCCGGATAAAAATTTAATAAAATTTATGCCTGAAAAGTGAGTCAACAACTTGACCTGGGTACAGCCAAAAACTGATACTCTGTGGACAGGTAGAGCTTCTTTGATGATACAATGATGTCAAGTTCTGTTCCATGGCTTGAATGTAACGCAACTTAGAATCTGATGCGTTTCGTGCTGCAAAAACAATGATTATCTGATTTCTCATATTTCTCTGTATTGGAGTCACATCTATCTACTAGAGGTACTAGTAGTAACTAACAACAGCTGCACTTCTCTGAACCCACCAACAGCAAAAATATTGACGCCGCAAGCCTTAGCGGCTTAGCGGCTTAGCGGCTTAGCCAACAATTTGCATCAATTGAATAGTGCTGTTCATATTCTTGCATATTTCAAATCCAGCCTGTGCCGGAGCAAAGGTCAAGGGCTTCCCTCGCTTGAAAGATGAGTCAAATTCCCTCAGACGACCATCTCCAGTTCAAAGGCGACTAAGCAGAAAGACCAAGGAGATCCAAACAGCAAAATGGTGTCATCACATTTTTGCAAAACTGGTGCTGGGGAGCATGCTGTGGTTGCTGTCCGCGGATAATCTGTCCAACGTAGTGACAGTCCTGAAAAGGAATGGCAATTAATGAAAACATACTTGGAACTTACAAGCAGCAGAGTAAAGCGGAATCACTTTTGGAAAACTATAGAATGCTCTTTAAATTTCTTTAAAGCTGGATGTGTTTTTGATAGTAAGAACAAGTAGCAAATAAAAATGTCGAGGGTCGCATTGTGTTGTCTTACCAGGAGATCTTCTCCCGGCCCCACTTTCCAGTACCTCGCAAGGCGGCAAGAATGAGAAGAATGAGAAGAATGAGAAGAAGAAGAAAACAAGCAATGTCATGTTACAGTCATGTTTGTCATGCGATGTCCATCAATTTTCTGCGAAATCGCTAGACTCCGCTAGACCAAACAGCATCTCACAGCTTCTCTAGCCCTGTTCATGCCAAACATGAACCAGCGAGCCTTCAAAATAATTTAAAATATGCTCTAGCATGGTCCAAGAGCATTCCAAACCAAGAGCATCCAGAGCTCTTTAACAATCTTTAACATATTTTAGAATCAGGTCACAGGCTGTCACACAGCTAGCCCCACAGCTCGTCACGGCTATTGAGCCTTGTAGAGCAAACCAGAATTCAGCTTCACAACACCTTCCTCCTTTGCCTTTGCCTTCAGAAATGCTTCTCCTGGGTGAGAAAAATGAAACGCTGCAGCAGTCTTATTTAAATGGGACACAACCTGAGAGGTCCTCACATTCTGCTTTATCCCTTCATTAAAGCCCTTTATGTGCTTCTCAACGCAAAAAGATGGCTCTGGGTCCAAAATTGCATCATTCAACGAGTCCAAACACACAGCGTTCAAAGAGTGTTCAAATCAAAGAGTGTTCAAAGGCAAGATGGTAAATCCGATTCACATGACATACATTGACATACCCTGTCAAAGCACCGTGGCTAAAAGTGTCACTGAACCTTTTGTCGTCTATATTGATCTAAATAACATCTACTCGCAACAAGCCATTTCAAAAGGCCAACGATGCGAAATTGGTAGGGTCTCTGTCCGTTTGGAAGAGGATTACAATAAATTTGCATATGTATATAAATAAATATATATATATATATATACGTATATAATCTGTCGAGAAACAAGGCTATGGAAAGACCTACGTTGATACAGTTCTCAACGTCAAAGAAGCAAAAATAGGTAAACAGGAAACGCAAACATGTTCTGATCCGGTCTTGTCCGCCGAATCTCCTGCTGCATCAGTGGGCATCGCCACCCTTTTTTAAAGATACGAAGCCATGAAAGCAGAAAATGATGCAAAATGGACTAAGCCGATTTCTCCACAGTATAAGGATAGTCACAAGTGTGTCACAAGATAGCAAGATATCAAGAGACTGTTTCAGGAAATTAGTGGTCACTGAGTAGTCCACGCTCTCTTATTCGTTGTCAGTGTATACTTAATATATCTTCATATTACTTAATGTTAACCCGCTACTTCTGAGTTCTGCGAGATCTGCAAAGCTGCGAGCAGTGCTGGCTGCTGGCTGCAGGACATTGTGTCATCGGCAAATTCTGTATGCAATCCTGTCAACTTGCGGGAAATGCAATTTATGAAGGGCATAGCACAGCTTGCACGTGTTTCCTCTTTAAGCAATTCAGTCGCGTTGCAAAGCACTCACTTTACTCTGCGTCCGAAAATGTTCCAAACGTATCTGAAACATCCTGAAACAAGATGGAGAAACAATAATGGTTCAATGTGTATGGTTTTTCATTTTTTTCTACTGATGTACACAAATGCCAGAATCCTCACACTCTGCATCGCCTTGGGCGGAGAAGAACTGTGCTTTCTGCGCTAGTTTCAGTACCAGGGAAACTGACTTGTAAAAGTTTGCCTCCTGTTTCAACTCACTCTCGGGCAAAAGTACGCGAGGAGCTGCAGACAGAAATTCTGGCAGGGCAACTCGCTGATCTGCAGACAAATCTAGCTGAGACTGAAGCAGAATACATCTCATCTCAAATCCTTGACCACTCAGCCGGCCGGCATAGTCTGCAAGCAAATCCTTTCCAAGTGACGCTGCGTTCCGAGCAGCATCCTTCAGTCGCGACTGTGAAGTAAAATCCAATGTACCGACGTTGCAGCTTTGCTGGACATGCTGGACCTGTCTTTCCAGTGCGCTTTCCACTTCATCTTTTCTAATCTGCAGCAAGTCCATGAGCATTGTTCGAATTTCTTGTAGGGATAAAGTGTCGTTCCCATCTGCATCATACAGCATGAAAATGTCCTCGAACGCCTCTGTCGGAGCTGGACACCCCTGTGCCACTGCTTTGACGCAAGCAGCCCAAGCATGCCTCACCGGTGGCAAATGCATCTGCAGAGGACGAGGACCAAAAGGACCAAGCCCCCTGGGTGACACACCGTGAGGTGCAGATGGTGACGGCTTTGCGATGGGAGCGCTAGGCTGTGCTTCCTTTGCTTCCTTCGTTTCTCGCAGCTGTGCCCATGCCAAGATCGCTGCAGTGATGGCAGCACACCACGCTTGAGCTTCCTCAGGGCGTACAACGAATTCAAAGCTCCCAGACTCGAGGATCAAAATCACGACATTGCCCAAAACCTGTGAGACAGTCTGTGTCCGACGGACCAACCTGAGGTCAATGCTAGATACCCGCTTTCGAATCGAACCAGGCGTGCTCTGATAAAAACTCAAGAACCAGCCATCTAGTTGAGCATAGTACCACTTTGAGATATCACCTTGGAGTTTGTCTGCCAGCGTGTCCCTTTCTGTGTCTATCTTGTTCTTCAGTTGAACTTGTACCCAGCCACCATGCTGTATGTGGTGCGGCAGCTCCTTTCGAGGCATGGCAGTTGGCCACGGACCTCCGTATTGAGGTGTGTTCGGAGCAGGGGTAGTCGGGTATGGCATGGTGACCCACGGGTTGAAATAGCCAGGGTTTTGACCAGGAGGATACAACTCAGTATCCATGTGTCCCAGTTTCTTTTTCATTGAGCGATGAATGCTGACACGGGTATTGTAGTTTGACCATGGAGGAGCAGGGACCGGCTGCAGCGGGAGCGGTGAAATTTGAGACAACATACTTTGCTGCATGGCAGCAAATGTTCACTGCTTGTTTGAGGCTAAACTGGCTAAACACGATGAGAACGTGAGTCGCAAGAGATTGCTTGGCAAGAGATGAAGCGAAAAGATGCGAAAAGCAATGTCGTGTGACAAAGGAGCATAGAAAATGCTTGATTTCCCGTCACTCCTGACTTCTGCTGACTTCTGCTGACTTAACTCAGATTCTGCACATGTCACATGATTCTGCTGTGTAAATCTGCACCAATAGTTTTCTGGCTGCAGTAAGACTGTCTTATTTCACTTTCGATTTTATGTTTTCTGTTCAGAGATTCTCTTTTTTGCGCTTTCAGCAGCACTTAAGCTATTCGCAAAGGGACAAGCGAAATCCATGTTGGATCTCGCTTTCCTCGGACTCAAGTCATTAACCAGCTATCAGCACCAAAGGCTCTGGCCTTTAAGGGTTCTAGCTTAGGATCCTTCAAGATACTCGTCCTTGGTCAGGGGACATAGGAGCTTGTCGGGGGCTTGTGGTTTGCCAGTGGCCGCCCCACCTGGCAAACCTGGCCTTTGTCAAGACCCGAGGGCGCGACATTGGCAGACATGCAAGCCTGTCTCTGCCCGTTGCTTCCAGCGAACAGTGCAGCATGTGAGTAATTAAAAAAACACCAACAAAACTCTGACTGCAAGCACTCCAGGCATCATGATTCAACTATATGTGGCTGGAAAGCGGTAGGACGTCTGGTATGTATGTTGCACACATAAATCATTTGTATATGAGCAGTGTGTGTGTGTGGTGCATACAGATATAATTACATGCACATACAAACAATGCTTTTAATGCTGTTTATGTTCTTGGATTGTCAGGCTGGGCACCTTTTGGCTTCCACCAGCAGTGGCCTCCCAAGTGTCAGTATGTTGCTTTCGAAAGTCAAGACAATCGAACTGCTGACATCTGATCGCACCTGATTGTTTGAAAGTATAATTGATGGCAATTGGACTCGCTTGAATTGAGTGCCTCTCTCAAAAGAGCTTGTACAGTGTTGAGCTCGCGGGACAGCATGTCCATTTGGTGCCTTCGAGCATTCTGTGCTAGTTTGTTTCCCAGCACCAAATATGCAAAGAACGGCTGTCTGTATCCTTTTGTTGTTTGCTGCCCATTTGTTTTCTCATGTACAACAGTTCCTAAAGTTGGTTTTAAGTCTTTGCATGTTGGAGCTGTCCCCACTGCAGCTCTGCGGGTGCCCCATATCTAGTACACGTCTGTTTGCTCATACGTGGCAGTCTCATCATATCACAAGTATATAATTGGGAAGGGATAGTTCTGCATCTTCCTTCAATTGCCGTTCCAAGAGCATGTCCAGGGCCCTCCAAACCATTCTGAAATTGGCATTAAATCCATTTAAATCCTAGATTCAAAATGATTCAAAGCTAACTTTTCTCCCAACGCAGTCGAATTCATCTTCGATTTGTGCAATTCTTTCTCAGGGACAATTTGCCCGAAGGTTTCGAGTCAGGCAAGTGGTTCACCGTTCTAACAAGTTTTTTCCCAGCGCTATGGATCTAGCTCTTCCACTTTGAAGTGTCAGCAGTATTGACTTATTTCATCATGTTTTATTATGTTTATCCTGCTCTGCCATCCTTTATGCTTTCTGAATCTGTCGGAGTTCAACGGAAATTGCTTTGCTCTCTGATCTCTGTTTGCAGGGTCAGTCTCTGGATTCTTCGTCACTGCAGTGGCCGCCGGCCTGCTGGAAGTAATCTCCCGGATCCGCTCAGATCTTTCCTCGGTAACGAGTTGTCTCAAGTGGACCTCGGAGACCCAGTCAGGCCGAGAAACTCTGTTAGCAAATCAATATAGAAATTCAAATAGAATCTGACTGAAAATGCCATTACACAGAACAAGTCAGACAGACTCGGAAACAAACCCAATGGAGCTCGCAAAAAGACTGGTTGCATTATGCAGCATTTACACAACCTAATTGCATGGGTCCCAAGCTTTGAAGAGTCACTTGAGAGCATTCCAAGTTCTTCTATGATAAATTCTGCTAAACACGTAAGTTATGACACAGTAGCTTCTGGGCAACAAGCATCAATCGCGGTTGATCCGAGTTTTGCCTGTTTAATGCTTCCACTTAGGCACCCAGCCTAATTGTGAAGGACAAATGTGTTTGATTTTAACTGCGCGTTCAGCTACGCATTTATGAGGCATCAGTTGACCTCTTCGTGCGAGATATGCGACAATTTGAACGCAGTAGAATCACAATTTCAAGCCGCAGCGTTAACAATCATATGCGCATCAATCAAAGGCATATAAATTCAAGAGATCGCAATTTGAATGTAGAGACTTAGAGACCGTAAATTTGTGAAATTCCACATGCGGAAGAGATCAAAAGATACAAATTGGTAATGTCAACGTACATTACCGAAATTTGCTGAATAAATTGGACAGAGTAAATCTAACATTGTACATACATATATATATATAATGATAGGTTGAATGAAAGGATATGTATCCCTGTTGGAACCTAGGGGGAGGACTTGGGCTTGAAGTTTCTAGTATTATATAATGTTATATAATCCTGCCTGCCCTGGAGGCCAAACTACAAAATACAGTGTCCAGCCACAGTGGAGCACAAAATGGAAAACAATGGAAAACAAGGTTAATGGGCACCACTACAAAATGCAACCATGCCCAATACGAATATTCTGTACATGTGTTTCACGTCGTGCTACTACTTGCAGTTTGCATTTTGTCGAGAACCCTACAAGTACTTCCCATCCAAAGAAAAACAAAAAACCATTTGGTGCCCCATGAGATTTGCATTTTGTAGTGCGGCAACCAGGATAGCGGATGTCCAATGATTTCTAATTGCCCAAGAGGCGCCCTACAAAATGCAAAATCCTGAAATAAAATCTCCAAGAAACCACAATTTTGAGCAATTTTGTCTGTACTGTACATGGAAGCACTACAAAATGCCAAAGCAGGATCATGTTTTTTTCGATGATTAAATGATATTAAATGGTTCTGGTACAGATGCAAATTCCAGGATAATACTTGGGATAATGCAATGTGCATGTTTAAGCTCTGGAGCTGTTTTGTACCTATCCCGGGATAGTGTATTCCGTAGTGGAAATTCCAACCCCAATGGAATTCATGGATATGTTTTGATACCATGCTGATGACTTTTGGTGCACGAAGAGAGAGAAGGCGTGCCGCAAACCTAAAGCGCCAGTGGATAGCGCATGTCTGTGCACACACTCTGTGCACACACTCTGCCATATCATTCCAGGTGGTCAGGAGATCAACTGCACAGGCAGATTTGGATCGCACACGCAGGCCACTTTTGGCCGCTCGAACCTTAAAATCCGGATCACGTGTAGGCACCAGCGATCTTGCCTGACATTCCCCAGATCACCAGCGCACACAAAATCTGGATCATATGTGCTCACAAGAGATTTTGATAGATTTTGTATGCCAAATCCACATCACATGTGCACACAGGCGCTTTGAACCCGTTTGGATAATGTACTCTTTGTTCGGAGGAGTGACTTGAAAACATAAGGATTGCCCACATCGAAGAACATTGGGGTGAGGTTGGGGCAGGTTGGGTTGGAATGTTGATGTTCACTGGCATTTGCAAACCAAGCATGGCGCACATCCAAGAACGTTGGGGCAAGGTCGGGTTGGGATGGGGTGGGATGTTAGCGTTCACTGGCACTTGCAAACCCGGGATGGCACACATCCAGGAACATTCGCGTGGGGTTGTCAAGTCAGTTCCTTACTCACCATCGGTCAGTTCCACTCAAACAGGTATCCAGGTCCTTGCTCACCATGCACAGCCATGCCACGTGGCTGAGTGGCCAAAAATCAAGGCATGCCCTGCTTTCCCCTACCCGCGTGTACATGCGATCCGTTTTCTAAGGGGCTCCGCGTGCACATGGGATTCAAATTCCGCCTGTACATGCGATGACCCGACCTTGCAGTACATGTATGTATACATGTAATACTTCAAAACACTCAGTATGTTTACTACGAGTCCGAGTACTATTGTTTATGCACTATTCTCCCGCCCTAAAAATGGCATGCTGTTTGAGGACATGAGACTCCCAAGTGGCTTATGGACAGCCAAATGGCTTCAAGAAGGTAATGGTTGCGCATAAATGGTGGTGTGAGAAGAGCACGCTCTAGTTTGCAGCTCGCCATCACCGAATGAAGTACGGGTAAACCTGCAAAAATCTCAACGAGGATTTTGAGGGTCCAACTGTATCGCCCAACGCCTCTCTCGCCATCTCCTCGGGCAGAAACAAGGCATTCGACTCCAAAAACACATGCGACGTCTGCGACGTGACACATTTTGAGCCCAGCGCATAAAGCGTGTACATGTCTTCGGGATCTCCAGCTGCCGAGAGCTCCTGCGACCCGATTCCCAGAGCCACCAAGCGAAGGCAGCGAAGGCAGCGAAAGGTGAAAACTGGCACTGGTCTTTGTACTGCTGAGACAAGCTGAGCCAGCTGAGCTGTCTCCGCGTTGTCTCCGCGTTGTCTCCGTGCCCTCTTGATCCCTCTTGCCTCTGCCCGTGGAGATTCTGCCTTGACAAGAGGAAAAGGACCATTATTGAGGTCAGTTCGGCTCAGTTCTGCTCAGTTGCCACAAATCTCCGGCAACAGGCCTTGACTGGGGAGCCACTTGCTTGAGGGCTCATCAAGGCCTGTCAAAGCTCACCGTCTCTCAAGCACTAACGTTTCCATTTGAATCAAATCAGTGTCAGCGCAAGGTTGACTACAACCGCACCATATACAATGATAGTATATTATACTAGTTGCTAGTACAGTGTCCAAGGTTGCCCTACTTCAGAATGTGGAAGCCCTGTAGCGAGTTGTGACAGCGCCTGCTTCCACATTGACTCCAGTTTTGCCCTTAGTTCCTTCGCATCGCTACCTTAGGCATTAGCACCCCTGTGTTCACCAGACTCGACACCGACTGAACTACAGTATACTACAGTATGGATATCTCCACACACTCTTCAAAATGTACTTCAACACAACATACTTCAACGCAATCCATACTCCATGGATCTCCATGATGTATGTCATGTCTGCCAGGTATTGGAGGTCAACTAAGCCGTGTACTTCTAGCAGAATGTTCCAAAGCTATGGCCTGGATTGCAGGTCAAGTAACCTGAGTAACCTCCATAACTACCAAAATAATATCAATATAATAATAATATGTACAACAATAATCAAAGACGTGAAGCCCATGGAATACAATTGAAAACGAGCCAAAAACATCAAGCTGAATCAAATGTGTTTTTGCATCTGGCCTCAAGTGATGCCGTCCCTGATGCACCGTGGGATGCAAACACATGTGCATGTTACAGTATCATGTGATGCCTGATCAAATGATCAAATGCCTACAGTAGTCATGGCTAGTCATCACATGTCATCACTCTGTCTCAAAGCTACAGTTCTCGTCAGTTATCGTCCAAGAAAAATGTAGAATCAATGAAAAAAAAACTCATGCAGCTGAGCCACGATTCTCCTCAATGAGCTTGGTCATTCTGCTCACCTCCTGCAATAATCATTGTCAAGTGTTCACTCTGAGCATCAGACTGGCCTAATTTTCAAAATAACTATAATATGTATATATTTATATTAAATTATATATCATATGATATATATATATATACCATATATATATTATATTATATTATATTATATTATATTATATATTATATATATATATTATATTATATATATATATTATATTATATTATATATATATATTATATTATATATATATATATTATATTATGTATATATTATATTATATATATGTGTGTGTTATATATATATATTATACGTATATTTGAAATTCGAAAAAAAGTTCTTGCTCCATTCACATCTGGGTCTTGGCTACAACCGTAGCTGCATTGGCTCTGGGCTAAGTTGGGAATGCATGGGAATGCAATGAAACTGGGCAAAGTGCCATGTGATTAGCACATGCCGACTCTATGCCGACTCTATGCACTCCTCACGGATGCGATCATGGACCTCACTGATTCGATCACCTGCAGCTCGCATGCAAGCCGAATCTCCAAGGCATAGACTGTACAGTACACAGTTCAAGTTCAACCCACAAGTATCAGGTTGATTCAGGTTGTACAAGGTTACAAGGTTGTACATTTTTACATAGTTGTACAGTTTTGAGTTGCTGCATCCAAGCCCGGTTGGAAACAATCGAAGATATGCTGTGTATTGCACATTGCCCCAACGCATTGCTTTACCTGACTGCAACCTGGTTGCAGTACTTTTTTCGTTTCAGATTCAGTCGACGTAGACATTAAGTTTCCACTCGATGCTTGAGGACTGCAAAGAGGAACAGTATGGACCGTATGGAAATGTATAGAACAGTGTGGTCTCTTGACTTTCGCCTTTTGGACAAGAGAACATCCAAGGAGTGGACTGCGACACAGTCGCTCGGCTTCCAGCTCGTTTCTAAAGACCTGCCAAAGACCAACAATATGCTGTATACATCGATCTGTATACTGGATATTGATGTCGTCTGATGTCGTTTTTTGTATGCAATGACGGTATGCCAAAATCATAGAGCACTTCAAGACATCTCAAGACACAGGTCTGGAGGCTGTTCCCTTCCTGCGCCTGCTTGAAGGTTTCCCATCAGTCACCATGACATCATGATTCCAACATGTTCCAACAGTTCAAGGATGTTCAAGTGCTTGATACTTCTTGCCTGAAGATCTATGTCTATGGTGCTTTGAAATGAAGGCTTGCCCGACTCCTTAAATCACTGACCGACATCATTGAGCAAGTTCATTCCTCACCAGCATCTAGCAGCTATGCAATGAAGACTTTTGCAGCTGTCCTGGCAGCAGGTGTCCTCGGAAAACACACAACCTTCGACATTTTTTAATGGCAGGAAAAAGATGGAAAATGAAGGAGTAGCAACTACCGTACTGTAACATCTGTAACTGATCCGAGTCTGCTGCCAACTTTTGCTGACACTCTTGGACTTTCGCATCGAGGGTTTGCATCATGGCATGCACCTGGAACTGCTCCCAGCAGTTCATATACTCCAGCGATTCTTAGCATCTTGCTGGGAGGAAAGAAAAATGACTTCAAGCCAATTGTGTGAAGCCATTCTGAACTATGCAATGGAGCAAAGGAAACAATATCTCAAAGTTTGGGAGAAACAGAAAACAAGCCATGGCTCAAGAAGACACACCTGTAACTTTCCGCCCCTAAATGAAACTTGATTAATCTGTGTTTATATATATATATTATATATATAAATATAAGCTTCTGTAGTGTCTTCAAGTGTCTTCAAGTATCCTTCGAAAGTGCGGGAAGTGTGGCAAAAGTACTGTTGATTCGCTGAGCGACTTGTGCGAATTCTTCATCCTTCGCATCTTGGATTCTTGAGATCTCCTCGTGCAAACGTCGCCTTGCAAGTGTTTGAATGTGTTGAAATGGTTTTCATCTGCATGCTCAGCCCGGCTCTGCAGTCTGTAGCCTCTGATGTAACACTTGCACCACTTACATGAATTCTGAGGGAGAATGAGATTCAAAAATTTCAAAATGAGATTCCATGGGATTCGATAATCATGTCAGGGGCACCCAGTCTCATTGCATAGGCTTGACACCTGCACCGGTCCACCAAAGTTGTCCAAAGCTGTCCAAAGTTGTCCAAAGTCCTTCAAAGCACAAAATTCGAGGCAGCGACTGTTACAAACAACTCAGAATATGACAGGCCTCGGCACGAATCATCTCAGCATGAAGCTTGCACTGGGTCTGAATCTCCTGATTAGATCTGATTAGCAGGAATACAGTAAATTAGAAACGAAAAATATGAATTGTAGCAAGTTCATGTAGCTTCATCTTTGTTTGAATCCTGTCCTGGCGAAGTTTATAGAAGGGATCCTGTCGGGTGAAAAAAGGAGAAGTCATACCGGGAAAGGATCCTGCATTTCTCAAACCCTATATACTTGTCGACACACACTTAGAACATCAAACGTTTTCCGAATGCGCCGGCACACACACTTAGAACATCACAAAAATCAAGAAGGGGATGTTCTAAGTGTATCACTTAGAACATCAAAAAACACCTCACTTAGAACATCAACACATAACAACACATAAAAGATGCATTTTGACAAGGGAAAAGGTGGTCTGATGTTCTAAGTGTCTTTCAGACAATGGTTTTGGTATTTTTTTGACACTGGAGTCATCACTGAAAATATGGTTTGTCCCACACATTCTGTTCTACGCACATCAAGCTTAAATAACTGGTTTGAAACACTCCTATACTCACCCCGGCTTTTTCCATTACTTTTAGTATAGCGGACAAACACTTAGAACATCATTATGTACAAATTTGATGTTCGAAGTGTGGATTTTGGGGTTGATGTTCTAAGATGTTCTAAGTGTGACACTTAGAACATCTACAGTACCCAGGCTAAATGTTGGAGGAGCGTTTTCCAAATGATGTTTCCAAATGCATTTCTCAAACCCTCTAGATATATCTAGATATTCTATGATATTCTTCTATTGCTGCGATGTGCCTCTTTTTTATTCATCTTAGATTCTTTATTCTTCCTTCAGCTCTTCAGGCTCATACCTTGTTTACCTCAGAATGTTGAAACATGATGCGAAACACGCCTCCATGTCCCAGCTTCTCTCTCGGACCCTTGAGTCCTGCAAAGCCAATGTCAGCAATCAGTACAATAGCTCTGCAGACTGCAAAGCTGCAAAAGTTGCATTAGTCGCCTGGTAAGTTCATGCAAGTTCTCTCTTTCGGTCGCATCTCTGTGTGTCTCAATGCTCCTCGACTAAGAAGTTCTGTTGGAGGCAAGCCTCTGAAGCGCACAACATAAGGTTTCAGTGTGTAAAGACGGGAAAGAATCGTCAAAGGTTGAGATGTGGATTGCTTCAGGACTACCAAACAAATCGGTTTGGACCCATCATTCGGCAATCAATGCGGCCGTGAAGCTGAGTTCAAATCCTGCAAAGATGGCGTTGAGTGCGTTGAGCTTGGCAGAGCTCTGGCTGAAGCAGTGCTGTATGAACTGATAGGCTGCAATGGTGCGCTTGATGGGCTAGGTTCCTTCATCTCGCCTTGCACTGACCCAGGCAGTGTCTGCCGTGTTTGGTGAGCGCAGTGCAACGGATGCAGTTGCGCAGCAGCACCAAAGTCTTGCGGGACATATCTCCGCCCCATCGTCGATTGGTACTGGAGCTGCTGGCATTGTAGTGAGGTCGGCGGCGGAGGGCTGACCATAGCAAAGCTGATGTGCACAGGTACCTGACAATGTTGGGTTTTACGCCAAACGCATCTCACTCTGACCCACTGTTTTTTTTAGTGTGTTTCTCTTGCCTCTTGCCTTTTGCATCCTTCCACACATGCAAACTTCACAATTTCACAATTTAAGATCACTGTGCCTGCGGAGAAGCAGATGGAGAGCCAGCATATGGTGATAATTGTCCACCAGAGTGTGGGAATCTCAGTCAGAAACGATTCAAATGATTTCCGAGCTGAGATCATGCTGTGCAATACATCTTGCGGAAGATGACGGAAACCCGGCGGAACATCCTGAAACGTTTGTGGTTTTGTTGGTTGGGGTTCTGTTTCGGCTCCCTGAGTTCTTCACCGGAAAGATTTTGGCTGCGGAGACAAATGTCCTCTGTCACACCCTGTTTGTTCAGGCGAACGTGAGAAGCCTCTGACCTGGATTCAACATGATTCAGCATATTCAACGAGCTGTACTAAGCAAGCAAAGCAGATCAAGGCAAAATGAAGCAAAGTGCCACAAAGCATTATAAAGGCGGAGGTGCCTCTGGAACAGTTGCAGAATGGTTCCCTGGCATTGGAACCTGTGGTGAGAAAGCCCTCTCTGACTTTGGCCGCGCCAAGACCTGAAATGACTCAAACCATCTCAAACCGTTTCAAACCTACTGCTCTGCAGAGTGCTGAAAGCGAGAGCTGCGCCTCTCGATAAGCAGTTCGCTGAGTGTTGGGTGAGCCAGGAGCCTTTCAAAACATTCGAGGCCCTTCAGAGTCTAATCCCCTTGTGATCCTGTCTTCTGCTTGACAGGTCTTGAAAGTAAAAGAACGCTGGAAATAAAACAATCCTTTCTGCAGGAGACTGCAGCATGCAACAGCATGTGAGCTACTGAAAATGTTCCGTCCAGCCCGGACGTTCGCCCACCAAGTAGAACATCGTTTTTGTTCCGTCTTTTCATGCAAACAATTTGAACAATATGTTGCATGGGGTAATAACATAGGAATCAGAATGAGAACCCCCTCTGAACAAGTTGTTGAATGGGGAAATAACATTTATCTTCATAAGGGATGGATATCCGTTTCAGACACATTCTACCAATTGCACGGTTTTCACACATCTTCAACATCCGAGATGGACATGCACAAAGAACTATATATAATTATACATATATATATATATTGACATCTACATATCCTGTACATATATATATATATATTATGTGTGTGTATTATGTCTATCTCTATATACATATATTATCATATGGTTCATTTCATTCCATTTTACGTCAAATCATTTCATTCATTAATCCATTCACGCATTCATTCGTTGATTCATTCAATCATTCAATCGTTGATTCATTCAATCAATCATTCGTTCATTCATTCATTCATTCATGAATGTTGAGTCAGTCATTCAGTCATTCAGTCAGTCAGTCAATCATTGGCTCACTCATTTGTCAATTCATTGTTTGTACCAATGAACGAAGGAACCACTGAATCAAAGCATGAGTGAACTGATGAGTCAATGAGCTAGTGAATCAATGAATCCGAACCAGTCAATGAATTAATGAATGTGCGACTCAACCAATGAATCAATGAATGGGTGAACCAAAGAGTGAAGGAATCAATGCATGAATCAATGATCAAGTCAACCAATGAATAAATGAAGGAATGAACTCAATGAATGAACCAATCAATGAATGAATGAACCAACAAATAAATGAATGAATGAATGAATCAATAGAAGAATGATTCAATAATTGGCTCGGCGCAGTCACTGAGCGAATCAATCAATTAGTACTGCTTCTCTTTGATACTTCTTCTCTGGTCTACCTCTTGTCTGGGCTACCTGTTCTCTGCCCCGCTTCCGCTCTGAGCTCCCTCCCTCTCCAACTGCTTCTTCTCTGAGCTTACTCTTCTGTGGTTTCTGTAAGCCACTTATTATCATGGTGCAGCCAGCACAATGCGTTTTGCAACCACCAGCTGCAAACCCGCAAAGCACGAGTGTGGCACCATGCTCAAAAATTACCATATATTTGTCGCACCTGTTACAATGCATTTAGCGATCTCTAGCTGCAGTCCCACATAGCAAGAGCATCACAGCATGGTCAATTGAGGCTTTCCTCCAATGCGTTTCGTCACCTCCAGTCCCAATTCTGGATAGCGGCCGAGGGATGATTCGGAAACCAACACAGATGATTCGGAAACCACGGATTCCTGGCAACCAAGGACCTGTGCGTGTGTGTGTGTGCGCGCGTGTGCGTGCAAGTACAAACGAAGATTTCATAATGTGGCATCATGCGCGTGTAAGTGCAATAGAAAGTCTTGCATCGTAACATCAAGTGTGTGCATGTGTGTGTGTGATATTGTGTGTGTAAGTGCAAGAGAAGATACTTTAACGCCGCATGTCTCAAAGAAGATTTATTTTTAACGTAACATTAGCTGTGCATGCTAGCGCAAGACAAAGTCGTATATAAAAACATCAAGTTTGTAAGTTCGAGAAGAATCTGTATGTGTGTAATGTAGCGTTGTGACATCGTTGTTGGTGGTGTTACTGTTTTTATTTTTGTTGTTTTGGTTCTTGTTGTTGTTGCTGCAGTTGTTGTTGTTGCTGCAGTTGTTGTTGTTGCTGTCGCTGCTGTTCTTGTTTTTGTTATTGTTCTTGTTCTTGTTGTTGTTGTTGCTGCTGTTGTTGTTGTTGCTGCTGTCGCTGTTGCTGTTGCCGCTGCTGTGATGAGTTTTGAGTTGCGAGTTGTGAGTTGCGAGTTGCGAGTTGTCTTTGTGAGTTGTTGCGTGTTGTTTGTCGTTTGTCGTTTGTTGTTTGTTGTTAATTTTTAGTTGTTAACTGTGAACTGTTTGTTACCTTTAGTTGTTAGTTGTAGCTTAAGTTTACAAGGTCCATGTCGCATAGGCCGGGACTGTCCATCACCCTCCCCACCACCCCGAAATCCGAAATCCCACCTCACCCCATGTGTAAGGCAACATCAAGTCAGCGGGACATGAACTAACCTCACACGTAATGCAGGAATTGATCGGCGACGTAGCCACAAGACTCTGCGCAAGCACCTCGTGTGCGTGCGTTTGGAACCGATCTGTGCTAGCATCAGTCGTGTGTGCAATTCGATTAGAACGTATCATCCCCCCCACACCCCGAAACCCGAAACCCTCCCCCAACCCCTGTGTAAGGCAACATCAAATCATCAAATCAGTGTGCCATGAATTAACCTCACGCATAATGCCGGAATCAATCGGTGATCTAGCAGCCAGCCTCTTTGGCTGTCCCCAAGCGCAGATCTTGGTTGATTTACGTGAGACTTTGGCTGATGAAGCGCGATATTTTGGTTGCTGAATTGCCTCTGATTTTGGTTGCTGACTCGCCGAGATTTGGTTGCTGAACGGGGCTTTCCTGGATAACAGGAGCGTCACACCAAGGCGACCACCGCTGACAATGGGGACGATTCCGCGCTACTCCGACCCTATCACTTGTTTAAACATGTTTTGGTCAACCGAGCTCTCGCTACGCTTGCAGCGAGAAGCACATTCTTGAACAAAATTGAACTCTCGCCACAGTCTCGTACACTTTCTGCGGCAGCTTGATAGTACCTGTATTTTACCTGCACTGGCTAATAGACATTGTCCCTTTCTTGAAGTACCTATAAATTAGTGTTGAAATTCCTAGTCGCAGTGCCAATCCCCTGGTATGGGGTGAGATAACCCATTATGAACTGTTATATGACTATCAGTTGCTGTCAGTTACTGTCAGTTGCTTACAATATCTAAACCTGCAAACCCTTGCCATGAGTCTCACAAGTCAACTCACTATTTTGCGCTTCTCTTAATGCACGGGCAAAAAGTCCCTCAGGTACGGGACATCTCGCCGAAGCCTGGCCATGCAGTCACAACCTGCAAGACCTCAGCCTTGAATTTCTCTTTTATCAAAAATATGTTGTTCATCTTTTTGCACCTGTAATATCCTGTAATCATCTCTTGTCATCTTCTCTCTACTACAATCAAATGACAAATTACTCAGCACCGTACATGCGGGACTTCGGCATGCAAACAAGTTTGCACAGTTATGAATGATAGAAGCGACATGAAGCGAGCTTGCTATTTTGCGGCACTTTGGAGATCAAAGTCGGCTAGTTGTTGAGCCAAGCAGCTTAAGAATAGCCTGTTTGAGCAAGGAGTGCTCAAACGGAGCTTTGACTTTCAGATACGCTCTGACCTTGTTGAGTAAGAGATTGAAAGCAGCATACTCTCAGATTTGTCGCGTGCTTGCACAACGGCTTGTGACGCCACACCTCTATCGTGCAAAAGTGTCTGGCTTTCCTTAAAATCAATGAATTCACAAAAACTCCTCGTGCATTTTGCTGAGGAAAAGACTCCAAGAATGCGATTGTTCTGAACCATGAGTGGAAGCAAGTTGTCCTGCGGGCGGGCCGCTGTCTCAGATTATTTTAGACCGTTCAGTTGCACACTTAAGATGATAAGTACGTTCACTAATTTAAAAACTGTGCGCGTGTGCTGTAGATGTTACATACTTTTTGCATCAGAAGGGGTGGACGAAATGTAGAAGGGGGTAACAACACGAATGGAACAAGGAAATTCAATGCCACATGGCTCTGCGGCATGAAGAAGTCCAAAATGACCTGATTTATTTGTTGCTGTTGTTGTTGCTGTTGTTTGGAACAAGGCACTGCCTCAGTTATGGAACGGACATCATAAATAGGTAAAAAATGAGGCAAGAGTCTTACATCAAAATAGCTGGGGTTGCAATAGGTTTGTGCGCGATAAAATCAGGTTTGGTTGCATGATAGTGTTATTACATGACTGTCAGGGTGACCGCGACTAGCAACGTGATGAGGAGACTTTTCTGTATGTAAAATGGGCACTATCAAAATGAATTGGTACTGGGGAGTATGTTGCTGTTGATGCTGGTGTTGGTGTTGATGCTGATGATGATGATGATGAGGATAATGAGGCGGTGACGATACCGTAAATGAGGATCGATGGGACTCTTGGGTCCAAACTTCAAAATACATCAACATACTGTACTCTATTTGATGCGCACAGGCGGCCAAATTCAGTTTATGACACTAGAATACACTAGACATGTCCCCAGCAGGCATAGAATGGGGGCCAGGGCTCCCCGTAGTGAAGATTTCCTTGTTAATCCCAAACACGACTCCGAAGTGCAATGGGCCACCCCAGTGCAAACACACATTAAGCTGGTAACAACGTCTGTAAAAGCCCGTGTCGGTGATGACATCACAGAGTCCCAGGATGATGATGCAAATGTCCGAAACTGTCGTAGTTTACACATTTTTATTGTTTTGGAATTTCTGGTGCAAATCCCTTGGAAGGGTGCCCTCAAGAGTGGAAAATCTAGTGTTTGACAACGTTACAAGCACGAAACTGCAGTTTTGTTCGCGAGGGTTTCGCCGAAAAAAACCTTTTTTAGGTTCAAGCACAAAGTTGGCCGAGGTTGTTCAGGGCATTGCCTTTGGCGCATGTGTGGAAGTGCAAGAGAACATCCAGCAGCGTAGCATGATGTATGTGTTGATGTATGTGTGGAAGGGCAAGAACACTTACTATAGAGTAGAAGTCGGACAGAACGTTATTACCCCACCCCACCCCACCCACCCCACCCCCAAAATATCAAGACACGAAAATATCAACACGCGCCTGGCCTCTTACAAGCGTTGACACCATAAACTTATATAAACAAATATATTAAACTTATACAG